TAATTTTTATGTTAAATTTAAAACTTCATAGCCATGGAGATAATGTGTTTTACATATAGCATAGCCAACTTTCAAATCCACCCTTAAAACACTTATTAAAAGTCATTATTATTTTGATTGAAAATGGGCTCTTTATTAAGATCTAACATGGTAGGAATTATAAAATAACTTTGAAGAAATATAAAAAAATAAAATAGGTTTTGGTAAAGCTTTTATATATTACTTAATTCTGAATGTATCAGACCTACCTATATATATGTTGCATTTAAACAGTACTGACTTAAGTTTTAGAACCATCAAATCAAACATATTTATATTAAGTTTTATAATTTAGGTACTTTCAATATATTGAAACTTTAAAAATCTGAGTACTTTGATATTTTTACTGAGTGCTTTTACAACAAAAGTATTTTCTAATTTCTTCCAATATAAAAGACTTTCAGAAACAACAATGAGGTAATTAAGATCTGACAGAAAATTATCTTAACTTTTCAAATATTATTATGTGTGTCAATGTGTATATGCATTTGGGCATAAGCTTCTTTTCACAATTATAGTCTGTCTACAAAAGAAAACATTTTAAGCTTTAGAGGATCTGATGTTCTAGTGTTTCTAAAATGAGAAGTTATTTTTTAAAGAAAATTACAAGAAAAAGTTTATTTTTATTATACTGGTTTATTTCTAAGAGCTCTAAACCCAAACCTTATTCAAGATATAGCAGTGTAAATGAACAGGTCAGTTACCTGGTCGAAATCTGAGCAAACCAGTAACTTTAATTATCTGTTGAGCTGTTTTTAAATATCACACACTTCAGTCCAAGGATGGCTTGCATTGAAAAGTACAAAAAAGTAGTTTTATTTACCTTTGTCTTGTTCTTTTTGTTGCTTTTCCACCTGCAGTGTTGGAGTCCTGCCCTTGAGAGAACAGCTGAATTACTTGTAACGTTTCAAATTATTTAAGCCTCTATCTTATAGTTCACAGGCTCATTTTTGTATGGTTTTCATATAGTTAACGTAATTGAAAGCTGAATACTGAAGTCAAATAAGTTAGATATAAAGTTGTCCTTTTGCTGTTAGTATCAAATGAGAAGAACAAATTGCTTACTTCACACCTGGAGAATCCGGTTTTGCCTGTTAGCCGCCTATTCTTTAGATTAAAGGAAGATCATTTTCATTGGAGCTGGCTTGTAACAGGAAGTCCTTGTTAAACTGCCTACATAGAGCATTTGGCACAGGCTCTGTAATTCCAATCTTGTATTATGTATAAAATCTATTACTCACAGAAAAGGTGGTTTGTATTTAAATAGATGTTACTTTGTTTTCTTTAGGTATCAAAACTTGCTAAATATACAGAATTTGGAATAAATAGGAATGGAAACAAGCCTGGGGTAAAGCCTTTTTGTTCCATTTACTTTAAGATGATTGAATTCTACTTTATTTTGAATTCACTTTATTTTAGGAAATCCCAAGGGCTTAACTCATGAGATCATTGAATCTCAGAACCATAAAAGCCAGAAAAGAGCTCATCTTTAAACCTTCCACCTCATTTTTCTATTTACTTGTACTTGCTACTTTCATAATAAAGTATTTTCAGTATAGAAAAACTAAAGTTGTGCAGCAATATGTGATACTGTTTATAATATACAGTATAACAATTGAAAATTAACTTTTACCAGAGTGAAATACTTACAAGGAAGTATTAGAAATGAAATTTCTCTCATAGTGCTAAATTTTCTTACTCCCCCTTTTTTCCTGTCTAAGTTGTTTTGATTTGAGGGTAAGAGGAAGAAAATTGCTATAATATCTATCAAAATAACTATTGCATTTATTCTTTGATTTAGTAGTCCCACTTCCTGGAACCTGTTCCCAAAATAAGAAATAACTCCATCACACACTTCTTCACAGCACTCTTTGTGAAAACACATCACTGGAAACAACACAAAAGTCCTTCCGTGTAGGCCTGGCTGAATAAATGAAACATCCATATAAATGACCTTTTTGTTGCTCATTAATAAAGAATATAGTAATAAAAAAGATTTCTTTATACTGCTCTAGGGTAATTTTAGAATTTACAATTTAAAAAAAGCATGGTGATGCATAAGTGTATACAGTGTAGTAGCTTTTGACGAAAAAAGGAAAGGTGGATATACACACAAATACTCCTCCTCACTATTAATCAATAATGGTGAGTTTCAATAGTCTCGAAATTGTGTACTTTAAAATACCATTTCCCCCATATACGTGTTTATATGTTCAAAAAGGAGCAATGGGAGGTGGAACTAGATACTAATGAAAATAGTTACCTAGAGGAGAATGGAAGCAATAGAGGGAAGGGACAGAGATGGAAAATAGTTCTGATTGTACCTTGTTTTTACAGTTTTGAATTTGGAACCATGTAAACGTTTTAAGTTAAATCTTAAAATAATAAAACTATCTCTAAAAAACAAAAGAAGCCTGAAACAAATGAACCTGGCTGCATATCTAGATGGTAGCATAGCCGTACAGAGAAGCATTATTTCAGGTAATTTTAAAAACCAGTATTTTGACCCATGCATCTTTTGTGGGATATGTTGTTAGAGACAAAAAATAACCACAAGGAGATCTTAATCTGCATTTAGCAGTATTTTTAGTAATACTGTTGGCATTGTTATGTTGAAACCCTTTATATTGTAAATAGTTAATGTCAGTGTTATTAGGAACTGAAGTTTTAAGCATAAGAAAAAAGAACTACAAATCAAGCTAAGTAAAAGCTAATTAATATTCGATTTAAAATGTAAAAATCATATGATTTAAATTTTTTCTAGCTCTATCCACTGAAAGGGTCTAGAAGCAATGGCAAGTCAATAGCAATAAATGTCCATAGTCCCCAAATACCAGTTCCTTCCTTACTGAAAGGAATCAGAGCACCTAAGAGAAACTGATGATTTCAGGTCTGGGACATTGTTTCTTATGGGAAAGCAAAGAAGCTATCAAAGACTACTGGAGTTGTGCCAAAAGAACCCAGGAGCTGTTTCAAAGGGGAATCCCACTGACCAAAAATTGGTAACTCTGAGACTCAAAAAAGAACACTGACTACAATAAGTTGAAACACATTATCATATACGTGTATGTTTAAGGTTATTTAAATAATCTCTACACCCAACATGTAGGCTCAAGCTCAGGACCCCAACATCAAGAGTCACATGCTCTTCTGACTGAGCCAGCTAGGCACCCCTAAAATCCATGTGTTCATAATGATATGAACTCCACTCACTCCCAAACCAAAGAAAGCAACTTGATTAACTTTGGAGGTGGATAAGGCACTAATTCATTCTTTTTAAATTTTTTTAATGTTTTTATTTCTGAGAGAGAGAGAAGGCGCGAGCAGGGGAGGGTCAGAAAGAGAGGGAGACACAGAATCTGAAACAGGCTGTGTCAGCACAGAGCCTGATGCGGGGCTTGAACACATGAACCACGAGATCATGACCTGAGCTGAAGTCAGACGCTTAACCGACTGAGCCTCCCAAGCTCCCCGGCACCAATTCATTTTTAGGAAACCTGGGAAATGAAGGCAAAGGATCAAACATTTATGTTGACTTTTATCTGAATTGTATTTAAGTAAGCATTACCAAGTTGTTGATGAAAGTTTACTTTTTAGACAAAATATAGTTAGTAAATTCAGAAGGAATATAGAACTAGAAAAATCATTTTATAAGCTCTTATAAAATAATGAAATTAAGCAAAGGTCATTACAGCTGTTAAAATCATTACATGAAAGAAAGGTTAGTGGGGAACTTTATTTGGGATGAATCAAGCTAAGTCCAGCCAAATCCACTGATCCATTATAATATCACTAAAGGTTGTATAACTGGATGTAATATGGCTTCTAAGTATCCTATTAGCACTATCGATGAAATATGCTTGTCAAAATTTCAACTTGAAACTCATCCAGCCAGTACATCTAACTACATCTACAGATGTGCATCTAATTACAGATATAGGAAATACCCGGTATGCGTGTTAAAATGACCTCATAAGGAGGATATTAGCTGAATCCTAAACACAGGAAATTCTATAGAAATAAGACTTGTTTTGTTTTACAAATTGACGTCATGGGAGGGAAGAGTTGGTGGTGGTGGTGGTGCAGGGGTGGGTGTGTTGGGACTGGGAATGGTATTGATTCAAGAAGATTTAAGTGAATACATTGTAATGTGTATCTTGTTTGGATCTGAATTTGGATATAACTTTATAAAAAATATTGTGGAATATTAACTTCTTTTATGTGTGATAGTGGTATTGTGGTAATGTTTTTTAATTTTTAAGTTTTGGGGTGAAGTAACTTGACTGGGCAGGGAAAGTAGAAGACCTGTAGATGAGCAAGAGTGGCATAATGTTGATAATTTTTAAAGATAGGTGATAAGGGTTAATTAGATTTATTATTCCATATATTTGTTAAATAACACATATTTTGGCTCTGAAATGTCTATCAAGCCCTGACCAAGACAGTGTCATATCCCATCTGATAGGCAAACTTTTGTTGTGTAGTAATTCCTATTTTTAATAACTCATTTTTTTCATTTTGTTGTTCCTCAATCTGTTCCTAATTGAGTATCATGTTTTTTATGCCTAGTGCTCTACCAAGTAAATTAAAAGTGCCCCCACCTCTCCAATAGGTTGCACATATATGTGGACACATTCACACGTGAGAATATAGATGAACTCTAATAGTACAGACTCAGAATGAATGTCTGGGTGTTTAAAACATGATGCAGTTTGTATTTTAAGAAGATAAGGACATAATTGATGTGAAAGCTGTAACTGATGGTGGAAGGCTGCGGAAGCTAGCAGTCTACTTCTTTTTTCTCTTTGTAGCTTGTTTTGGTGTTGGACTGTTGACCTATTGCTTGTTTCCTTGAGACTTCTGTTTACCTGATTTCCCTTTAAAGACCATGATCAAAATATTTTTATGTGGCTTTATGATTACATATTTGCTATAAAACTACTTCATATATGTCTCTCTAGGTTGGCAAATAAACAGGACAAGGAAGGGGCATTAGGAGAAGCTGATGTGATTGAATGCCTGTCTCTGGAAAAATTGGTCAATGAACACAAGTGCCTATGTCAAATAGTAAGTTTTTGCTGATTTTTTTTGCTCTATGTTTAGAATAACTTGTTTTTGTAGAGGTGATAGGGGATTAGGTTGTAGGCAGCTAACAAAATAATTTATTAGTGCTCAAAAATAATTTTTTTTAACCCAGGAAATCCCATTCTCCCTGTCTGTTAATATTATTTAATACTGTAACATTTATTTTTCCATTTAGTGGTTACTTCCATAAACTATCTTTCATGATCTCCAAGATTTTAGATTTGCTTTTTGTTTAAGATATTGCTGATAGGACCTGTAAGTTATACAAACATGCCATGCTATAAATTTTGTAGAGGGCCACCTGGCTGGCTCAGTTAAGTGTCTAACTTTGGCTCAGTTTGTGATCTGACAGTTTGTGATTTTGAGCCTATATCAGACTCTCTGCTGTCAGCACAGAGCCTGCTCCAGGTCCTTTGTCCCTCTCTCTCTCTCTGCCCATTCCCCCACTTGCTCATTCTCTCTCTCTCTCTCTCACTCTCTCTAAAATAAGTTAAAAAAATTAAAAAATTTTGTAGAATGGTCTAGTATAAATATAAAGTGTAAGCATAGGAGAGGTTATAATGAGTTTTGAAAGATTATATCAGGAAAGTTATCCTATAATCTTAAGAAAGGTTGACAAACGGTTTCAGAAGATGGCCTTTAGGTTGTCAATCTTAAAAGATGTTTACTGCTGGTATAAGGAATTAAAACTTTCTGCTGTTTTTAGTAAGTAGGTATTTTTCTTCTGGTAGTATAGTTTTGTCTTCCAATCAGTTTGTTTAAAATTATAATTGGTACTGTCGACTTCTTGTGTCATAGTGTCTCTCACAGTTTACAGATATTATCCATAAAACATATCAGATTATATATACTAATGTTTACTTGTCATTGCAAAGGTGTGTTTTATAAGTTAAATAAGCAGATGCTTCATATAATTAATGGATTAGTTTTGATTTGCCAGTATTTACACTTAATGGTTTATACAATTTTTGTGGAGAACTCTTAGTTTTAATATTTAAGTCAAATAAATTGCTGTTTTTCAGGAACCTTGTTCAGCAGTCTTGGGATATGGAAAGAAAATTGACAAGTCCATTAAAAAAGGCCTTTACTGGCTACTACATATCATAGCAAGAGACTTTGATGCCTTAAATGAACGCATCCAAAGAGACACAACAGAACAACGTGCTCTTGAAGAACAAGAGAAACGAGAGAGGGCTGAACGAGTGCGGAAATTACGAGAAGAAAGGTATGTACCACAATGCATTTGAAAAGTCAAGACCACCACAGTTTTATGGATAATTTTATAGTTTTGTCTATTCGGTTTCCCCTTGCTATATGAAGGAAGATACTAGGTAAATGTTTTATTTCTGTGGATCTTTCCATACAGAAGTTTGAGTGATAGGGTACTGATTTTTCTACTGGTGTTATAGTAATTAAATTTATTCTTTAGGTATTTATTAATTCCCAGAATTTGAATAGTTTTATCTCTTATTTCTTAATGGTTACCATTAGTGTAGTGGTTCTCAATCCCTGGGGTGATTTTGTTCCTCAGAGGACATTTGGTAATGTCTAGAGACATTTTTACTTGTCATGGCTGGGGATAGGTGGAGTGCTTACTACTGGGATCTGGTGGGTAGAGGCCAAGGATGCTGCTACATATCTTGTGATACATGGGACCATCTCCCACAACAAAGAATTATTGGGCTCAGTGTGTCAATAGATTAAAAAAGCCTTCTTTAGTCAAGCAAAGATAGAAGGTAAGTGGTTAGTGGATGTATCAGCTGAAGCAAAATCTGATCTTCAGCACTACTTTTGTCAGAAAGTAGATTAAATTGCAGTGTCTTAGTATTTTAAAATATGTTTTGAAATTATTTTTAAGATATGTTGCTTGAAAGCAAACTTTTAAATGGACTTTAGCAAACTCTGAATTAAAAAAAAAATTATATAAATTTTACCACAGAATCATTTATAATAATCTTAATGCTGGAAGAAAGTACTCAGATGTGATTAGTGCTTAATCCTGTGATTCTTCTTTCTGGATTGTTATATGGTAGGGGAGGGGAGAAATGAAGAAGATTTTTCAGTGAGTTCTATAAGATACAAAGTTGTCTTCCATATACCTAAATAATACTGGCCTTCCATGTACTTTAACAGAGTTGTAGTCTGGTAGGCAAGAACTCACTAACTGCCGTTGGTGATGCCTTTGTGTGATGCTTCCATACACTGTTGAAGAAATCCTCTGATTTCTGGTATCTTTCATTTAATTCAGAGATAGGACCTAAAGGAAAGAAATATTTCAACAGAAATACTCTCCATCCCCAAGTGCTGAGTGATATGAGCAGACTATTCATCTAGGTCCCTCTTGATACCAGTGTGAGGTTTAATTTTAGTAAATGTGAGAATCTTTGGTTTCTTATCCTCATGTATATTTTCATGATATAAAGCTCGGTACAACCAGTCATCCATAGGAGTATACCTTTTATATTGTTATAAAAATAAAATATATGACCACACTTTTCTGAAGACTCTTTTGCTTTTCTTCCAATAAGAAAACAAACAACAAGAAAAAAAAATTGAGTTGGAAAAAATGTTGTCTAATGTTAGTCACTTTTTTTCAAGTTTTTACCTTTTCCATAAAGATAATCTAGATCATGTTAACACGTTGTGGCCTTTCTGATAACCGTTCCTCTTTCCTCCTTTCTCCCAGCCACACCACTTCTGGTCTGAGGCCTCTCCTGTTGAGCAGCAAAAGTTTGTAATTAAAAGTAAAGTGGCATTAGAGAAGAGTTATTAAAAAAGAAACTTTTTATTTAATTAAAGGTTCAGATATTTTTGAAAAACAGTAAAACATGCTGGTGTTGATATATCTGAAATATATGAAATAGTATCTGAAATAGTATGTCAGTATCAGATAACCTGAAACTGCTTACTAATAAAAGAATAACATTACCATCCTGTAGATGTGTTCATTTACAGAGTGCTTTCACATACTGAGCACTTTGCCTGCACAACCCTATGAGGTAGATATTTTTTTTTTTTTAATTTTTTTTTTTTTATTTATTTCTAGGAGAGAGAGAGAGAGAGAGACAGCGTGAGCAGGGGAGGGTCAGAAAGAGAGGGAGACACAGACTCTGAAACAGGCTCCAGGCTCTGAGCTGGCAGTCAGCACAGAGCCCGACGCGGGGCTCGAACCCACGAACCGCGAGATCATGACCTAAGCGAAAGTCAGACACTTAACCGACTAAGCCACCCAGGCGCCCCTTGGTAGATATTTTTATAAACATTTATGGGAAAGCTGAGGCTTAAAGATCTAGATATAAGTCCAAAGTCATAGAAGTAATAAATTGCAAATCTCTAACTCTTGGCTTCCTAGGTTTACAATGAAAGGATATATATTTCTACAATAGAACGTAATAAATGTCATAGTAATGAGCATTCATGTTACCATACTTATAGTGTAGTTGTAGATTATATTATAAATTAACATACTAGGGTCCCTCTGTAGAGGACTTCCTTTGTAGAAATTTCCTCCCCCCTTCACTTTTTTTATGAGTTGTCCTTTGTTGTGAGTTGTCAAGACTGAAAATCCTGGCCGGTTAAATAGGAACTTTGTTATGTCTGTTTTACCACGTTGATGCCAAGGGAAGGGGCTTAGAGTGGGGCAGAATGAGTGAAGGAGAACGGGAGGTACCAGCTTCCAGTTACTGGAATGACTAAGTCTCAGGATGAAAGGTACGGCAAGGGGAACATAGACAGTGGTATAGAGTTGTATGCCTACCGATGCTGACTACACTTATGGTGTACGTTCAGCTACTTGTTTTAAACAGAAACTTCTTATTCTTCATATGTGTGGGGCAGTATTAAGTATAAATCACAGAGATAGTGAATGTTTCAGTAGTAACTCATGTGGAAATACTTATTTAATCTGAGTGACATAGAGCAATTTAGTTTTATAGTTTCTTTATGAGCAGCAGTTGTTATCTAGTCCATATGTGACATACAGTTTGACACAGCCGTGAAGAAGGGTGTTAACAAGAGGACTTATTTGTTAACATCAATGAAGAAGATAGCATCTGTCTGGGAGAGGAATGAACAAATCTATGAATACAAACTTTTGATGCATAGAAAATTAATTAACAAGCACCACTGACATTTAGAAGTCAGTCAGGGAATGTTATTTTTGTCAGCATTTCTCTTTTTTTTAATTCAAATAATTAACAGTGGAATATTAGCCATAAAAAAAGAATGAGATCTTGCATTTGTAACAACATGGATGGATCTAGAGGGTATTATTATTATGCTAAGTGAAATAAATCAAAGAAACACAGATACCATATGATTTCATTTATATGTGGAATCTAAAAAGCAAATGAAAAACAAAGTGAAACAGACCCATAAACACAGAGAACAAACTGGTGGTTTCCAGGGAAAGGGGGGTGGACAGGCAAAATGGGTGAAGAGGAGTGGGAGGTACAGGCTTCCAGTTATGAAATGAATAATTCATGGTGATAAAAGGCACAGCATAGAGAATATTATGATAGTGTTGTATGGTGACAGTAGCTATACTTGTGAGGATAGCATAACGTATAGACTTGTCACAGTGATGTGAAGCTAATGTAATATTGTGAGTTAACCATACTTCATATAAAAAGTTCAGATGATTGCTCTTTACATGTGGCTAAGGGGCTATTATCAGAAATCAGTATTTTTGAAAATCTCTTAGTAATTCAAAGCCGTATCCAGATGTTTAACTTACTAAATTTAACAGCATTAAACCTATTACAAATGTTCTTACACACGGTTCAGCATTTTCTCATAAGGAATTCCAAAACTTTTCCTTCAAACAATAGAGAACAAAGAGAAAGAGAGCAGGCGGAACTCAATGGAACCAGCAGCCTGGCTGAGTTGGACTCCGAACCAATTATTGTTAATCCTTTCCAGCCAATCGCGTCTGTCATCCTTGAGGTACGGATGGTGGCAAATGTAATTTTTTTCTATCTTAAGTTATAAAGTTAGAAATTGTGAAAGGAGATGGGGAGAAGTGTTTCACCAGAGATTATTTCTAAAAGAAATTAAATGGGAGAGGTGGATTAAAGGCTTACTGCTTTTTCTTCCTCTTAAAGTTTACTTTCTGATCTGATATAAAAAGGAGAGATGACTCCTGAATTAACCGAGAATGATAACGAAGATTGAATGTGGCAACTGCCATAATTACTGTCCTACTAAATCTTTTTTTTTTTTTTGTCATTTATTTCATAGGATAGTGATGTATTTACTCTTTCTTACATTTTGTCCTGGTATTGCTGTTACTATCTCTTTAGAGTAATATTTAGGTGCCAATGATGCATTTTAGAGTATGTAAATGATTTTCTAATTATTTTTCCAGAACACTTAAAATGTTTGAAACTATAATAAGCTTTTCTATATATGAGTATCATTTATTTTCATTTTGATTGTCAGAAATTTTACCAAAATTAATTTTTAGATTTTAATCATGAAGAAGTTAAGGAGCCGTGTATGTGTGTCTGTATGTCTGTATCTTCGTTTTCATTTTTCTACTGGTGTCCAGAGTTTGCCTGGCCCTACTTTAGTCACCCTCAGCAGCCATGCCTCCCTCGAGGCAGAGCTTCCTAAGTCTCCTCTCCATTCACTCCAGAGCTTAATGTGGCAGCCGGCTCGCTGGTTCCACCTGTATGTTTTCCATTCCTCTTCCCCTGTCACTGCCTCCTTCCACACAGGTCCTCATCTGGAAAGGTGGATGATTGTTTCTTCCTTGGGGCTGCTGATGAGGAGGGAGGCAGCTCCACAGGTAAGAAGATGATTGGAGAGTTTTGGTATTGCTTTATTTTGCAGAATGAATGGTAATATGAGATATTTTGTCTTGGGTTGCTTAGCAACCAGAAGATTAATTGTATTTAATCATTTTATTAACCTGCCACATTTACCTTCAGTATATGCTTTTCTAAGTACATTAAAGCTACCTTAATAATGACCTATTGATTTATCTCTATCCTATTAAATACTGGGTTTGCCAAGTCATGTTGTATGTTCTTTAAAAAATATTGATAGAGAAGGAAATCAAGTTTGACTTTTCACTTTGAAACTTTAATTTACTCTATATTTGTAATAAAGTTCACCTTGTAAATAATGACCAATTATTTTATAGCACCATGGTTATAAATTACTTAGAAGGCCTTAATGCTTCTACCAACATTGTATTTTTCGCAATATAAAGATGTAAACAAGCATAGTATACCTTATATTGAAAATCCCTGAACTAATTAGTGGATGTGGAAAGTTATTATGCTTTCAAACCATGTTAATTTTAAGAAGATAATCGGTAAAGAAATGAAGGATATGAAAACAAATTACCTAGCGTCTTTTTTCTACTGAGCAAGTATTTTTTCCTTCCATTAAACTTCTCTTTTAAAATGTTTGCATTTTAGAGAATCGCCTTGCATTCATTTGATTTCATTACAAATAAAGAAAAAAAATGGTGAGGTATTAGTTCCAGAAGAGATGTATGGAACAATGGAACAAATAGTAACAAACCCAATTATATACAAGCATTTAGGATAAGGTAAAGGTTACATTTTAAATTTGAGAGAAAAGAGTTGGAATAACTGAACATCATTTGGAAGACAGCTATGCTCACTACTATACTGCCAACGCACTGAACAATCATTTGGAAAGAAGTAAAATTAATGAACAGTGTATACCAAATTGAACTCCAGAAGACTTAAATGTGTAAAGTGTGTAAAGAAGCCTTAAAAGTACTAGCACATAATATAGTTAAACATTTGTAAATACTTGGAGAAGGAACACTTTTAAAGCAGGACCATCAAGGGGCGCCTGGGTGGCTTAGTCGGTTAAGCGTCCGACTTTCGCTTAGGTCATGATCTCGCGGTTCTGGGTTCGAGCCCCGCATCAGGCTCTGTGCTGGCTGCCAGCTCAGAGCCTGGAGCCTGTTTCAGTCTGTGACTCCCTCTCTCTCTGAGCCTCCCCTGCTCACGCTGTCTCTCTCTCTCCTAGAAATAAATAAAACATTTAAAAAAATAAATAAATAAAAATAAAGCAGGACCATCAAGCCACAAATCATAAAGTGAAAAACAGGTCTTACTATATTGTTTTGAAAGATCAGTTCTACAAAGCTAAAAGCAAAAAACTCCAACTCCAAACAAACCCTAATGAAATATATCTAAGACACATAAGACCACCAAAAAAAAAAAAAAAAAAAGAACTCTTAGCAATTCCTATGAAAATAATGATGAATCTAGTAGGAAAAAAATTTTTGGGGTTACCGTGGATAAAAACAAAAATAAAAATGACAATAAGTCATTTGATAGGTTGATACTTCATCCTCACTAGCAATAAAAAAAAAAATAGATTGAATTAAACTAACACTGAGGTAAAAATATGTATTTATTAGTTTGACAGACATGTAAAAAGATTGATAATGATATACAGAAATTGAAAAGGAAATGAAGAAATGTCACTCTTCTAACCCTTTGCCTGGAGTGTAAACTGACTTTAGTTTTTCTGAAAGGAAGTGTTTGGTTACCTATTGATCCAGTAGTTCCACTGTTAGCAATTTATTCTAAAAAATAAATTCAATAACTGTATTTCTTATAACAATGAAAAATTGAAAATAATTGTCTTGATTAGGAGTTGGTAAATTAAGTTATAACCTTCAAAATGATAATGTAGTTGATGAAAGTAGTAATAGCTAACACATATAGCTAACACTTTATTATGGGTCAGGTACTATTCTAAGCACTTCATGTAATTGTTGACAAGAAAACAAATATACATTCTTAAGTAAAAACTTAAGTTCTTTTTTGTTTAAAAAACAAATGCATAAATAAATGTGTATATGGAGAGACACATTCAGTCATGTATGTTTGTGGGTGGTATATGTCTGTACATGCATGGGGTAGGAAAAGAAAAACACCTCTTAGTGATTATGCACCAAACAGAAATCATCTCTTGATTGTGGAATTACAGATAATATTTGTTTTCTTTCTTTATACTATATGTGTTTTCTGAATGCTTAACAATTAGTATGCTTTAATGATATATTCAATAAATAGTTTTTTTTAATAAAAATGTCACAGTGCCCTGAAGTTACAGGATGCATTTGGATTCTTTGATTTCTCTTTTAAAACTGTCTTAGATACAACTTTTATATTAAAAATGATATATTTCATTTTTGTTAGAATGAAAGAAAACTTGAAAAAGAGAAAAAGAGACACAGTATGGAGAAAGACAGTGATGGCCTGCCCCCAAAACTTAAAATGGAGAATGAGCAAATAGAGACACAGAGCCAGATCAGTGACAACAGCCAAAAAAACAATGAGCTTGGAATAGTTGAAAATTATAAAGAGGCATTAACACAGCAGTTGGAGAATGAAGATGATATAGACCAGCGATCATCAGAATCAGGTGATAAATCTAGTTATTCAAAATATATGTATGCATATATACACACAAAATTTAATGATACATCTATCATTTTTCATGATTATTTTCACAAAAAATGTACTGTAATATTTTTTTTGTCTCCAAATGCATTATTTATCATGGTTTTCTCATGGTTTTTAGTTTCTCCTTAGTGAATTTGCTAACTTACATTTTTATTCATGGCACCTTAAAATGTGGTCCTTTGTAATTAAAAGAATTTCAGCAGAAAATTCTTTTTTCAGTTTTATTTCATAAATTTAGAATATAGCATAGTCCCAGGAATCCTTGGAATATGTTTAACCTTTAAGGCTCTTTTAAGGAGTTTTCTCTGGGTTTTATTTTAAGCTTTATAATACTGCAATTAGTGTCACTCTTTTATTGACTTGTTATTTCTATAGAATTCAGACATACTCATTTGAACATTTTCAAAGTTTTTATTTTATTTCCTTATTTTGAGAGAGAGATAGAAAATATGAGTGGGCAAAGGGGGGACAGGGTGGACAGAGAGAGAGGAAGAGAGAATTTCAAACAGGCTGAAATGTGTGCTGACAGCATGTCTGATACATGGCTAGAACTCAAAACCATGAGACCATGACCTCAGCCGAAATCAAGAATTGGACATTACCTGACTAAGCTACCCAGATGCCAGTAACCATTTTCCTATTATTTTAGTATCATACAAGATCTTCAATTCATAATTGCTTTATTTTCTCTAAGTGGTTTTGTGATTTAACAAAATGTCTTTGATTTAACATCATGTCTTTGGTGTCATAGACAGCCTGTGTTTAGAATCAGACATCCTGGGATAGAATCTAGCTATTTGTTATTTTACACTGTATTGTTTTTCAGTCTTGGATTCTTCCTCTCTAAAATGGGGATAAGCATCATTTTTTTCCACAGAGTTTTTAGATTACTTACAACAAAAATAACCTGCAGTGTTTCTAGCTCAGAGTCTGACTTATGACCCAATAATCCCATTTCCTTGCAATTCCTAGTTAGCAGTATGGTTCCATTATATGTAAGAATGATTATACATACTTGGGGCACCTGGGTGGCTCAGTCAGTTAAGTGTCCGACTCTAATTTCAGCCCTGGTAATGATCTCACGGTTTGTGGGTTCAACCCTGCATTGGGCTCTGCACTGACAGCGTGGAGCCTGCTTGGGATTCTCTCTGTCCCTCCTTCCCTCTCTATGAATGTATGAATGAATGAATAAATCTTAAGAAAGAATTTTTGTACAGCATCAGAAATGTTGTCAAAATAAGATCTCAATCCCTGACGTTCAGGTTAAAAAAAACTTGATTTGGAAGTTACACCTTTTTTAAGTTGAGAAGTTAGGGTAGCCACATTCATACCCTTGTAGCTCTGTTAACAGAAAGTAGATTTAAAGTAGCCTCTCAATATGTTGAAAGAAATTTTGAACAGTAACACATTGTTAAAGAACAAAAGATTGGGCAGATTATTTGAAAATATGGTGTAGAAAGATCTAAGATAGTCAATTATACAACTATAATAAGTAACATTTTTGTGCTTTAGAACATGGCTTCAGATACCTTAGATTGTTTAATGCAGGATTATGTTATTTAACGTAAAAAAATTTAGAGTACATTATTCCCATTATTTTGAATAAGAAATCAAGGACTTGGAGAGGTTGAGTAGCTTGTTATGATCATACGTCTTGTCTGCAGCTGGGATGAGAGCCCTCTTCAGATTGTCTGCCCATTATCCTGTGCTCTTTCGTGACCCTGAGCTACTGCCCATCCTGAAATATCATGATTCTGGACTTTCTCTTTCCTTTCTCTCAAGCCTAAAGCTTGGGGTTTAATTGTAAAATGATTTCTTTGTTTCTCTGTGGAGTAAAATGTCTCAAATGACACTAATTTATTTAGAAAAAGTATGTGTTTATAAACATGTTTATATTTCTCATTGCTTTGTAGATTTCATAGATGTTGGCTATTTCTCACATAATAGATAATTCCCATTTTATAAAATGTATTACATATATATAAATTAAGCCGTTTGGGATTGTCACTTAAAATACTTAAGTAGCTTTGATGTTTGGTTATTTAACTACATTGTCATACGGTTTACACTGTTAAAATTTACATGTTAATGACATAGATGTCCTTAAATTGTTTATATGTGCTTAAGTGAGAATCTGTAGTTATTTTTTAGAAAGAGCAGCAATTCTGCAATGTCTAATAATGCGATTTTGGTTACATATATTTATTTATATTAGTCATACCTTGTCTGGGGGTTATTTTAAATGGGTAGGGTAATGTGTTTAAATTTGTTTAGGGTCTTTTTTCACATTCAAAGGATTAATTTTGGGTTGTTTATACCTAGAATCATTCTATATATTCTACTGGGACAAATCAATGTCTCTCCCCTTTCCCTGGGTTTCATGAGAATGCCTAGGATTAGACAATTATATTTACTTAATATGACGTTGGGAAAAAATATGTTACTTTTGGAAATGTGAACGTTTTCAGTATGCTGAATAATCTCTCATAAAACTTAAAATACAGGCTTTTTGCTGTTGGTATCATATTCATTAAGTACTAATTCAATAAGCAATCATTTAAAATTTTATTCTTAGTAAAAGCAGACTTACATTTTGTTACTGGTAACAATTTCCAAAGTTTGAAGATCTATTTTTATAGTAATGATAATATCAGTAGTCTAGTTCCATTCTTTTTTATTGTAGAAGTTTACATTTTCCCAAAGGCATATAGTTCAATGTTTATATTCTTATAGATAACAGTAAAAAGAAAACTAAGAAACTAAGAATAAAAAGGAGTCACCGTGTGGAACCTGTTAATACAGATGACTCTGCTCCTAAGAGTCCCACACCACCCCCTCCACCTCCTCCTGGTGAGTAAGTTGATCCTGATACTGAATTTAGATTTACTGCTCTAAACCATAAAGAAAAAGAAAGAAATTTTGTAGCTTTATTCAGTATATTTATTTTTTTATGAATTTGTGAAAAAAGTCCATTTTTTTCTTTTTTGTTCAAAATTTGTCATTGCTATTTTAGTCAGAAAAAAATGTTTCCTAAAAGAAAGAAAAAAGGTAAAATTAATAAGAACATTTTACCCAAGCACTTTCTAGAATAGATTCAGGTCCTATTTGAGGTATCAGTGCCCAGATTGCTAAAAGGAATTTTTAAGTTTAATGAATGGCTAGATAGTGTAAGTTTTTAAATAGTTGAGTCTTTCATCCTGAAAGTTAATATTTGAAACCAAGATGTGTGAATTTTTCCAATATATTTCCAACATACATACCTTCTAGGTTGTTATGAGAATTAAAAGAAATATTGCATGTAAAACACTAAGACATACTGACTGCACAACAATTGTGAGTAATTTTTCAGCACTAGCATAGTACCTCACATACTATATGTGCTCAATAAATATCTAAATGTATATGTTTGTAGTGTCCTTTTAGCCCTGTTAGAAGGCTTTAGGTGGTAACATTTTCCTTTGAGAAATAGTTCAAGACTCATTTCTAGTATTTCATTTATTAGAAGAAATTTCTTTTAGCCTTTACTAGAAGCTGGAGTAGTAGCCTAGGGTAATTTTTGATGGTGGTGAAGATGCTTATATTTTTAACTAAAGTAAAAACTTAAAGGATATGTTACCAGCCTATAATTACATTTTTAAATAAAAACTATTTCAGATGGCTTTGTGTCTATCCAGTACTGTGTCAGTCAATATACATATACATATGACTTGCCATCACATCTATACATTCCTGTCAAGGGAGGGAACCAACAAACCTAAAGAGACCTTGTTTAACAGTGTTTTAAAATGTTTTTCTTTTTCTTTAGTTGGCTGGGGAACCCCCAAAGTCACTAGACTTCCAAAACTTGAGCCTCTTGGTGAAACACGTCATAATGGTAATGCAAAAGGATCAGTTTTCAAATATACATATTAAATCCACTTTTCTTTACCTCAACAAACTTTTATTTTTAGAAGCCTTTCAAATCTACAACCATCTTTTTTCATTATACTTTAGTCTTTTTATTTTATTTAATTTTTTTATTCTTTAGTGCCTTTGCTTCCATATAATTAGATTACTTTGGAATACAGAGGTAAAAATAATCATAGTTTGTGTTTATCCATTATAATTATGTAAATTGTTGTGGAATAGGGACAGTTTTAAAGCAATTTAAATTACATATGAGACATTACAATTATCCTTAGTGTTAAAAACAGCATTGTCCTGTATATGCTCGGTACTCAGTGTTAACACCACGTAATTGTTCTTTGTCTGACTCTAATAAGTTGACCCAGCAGCTGAATATTGGAATGAAGTAAATATCAACACAGTTTGCAAAATCAGAGACTAAATCAGTAAACCAAATGAAGTTCAGCTAAATAGAAAGTTACTAAAGGCTTATTGACTTAAGAAACAGTTTTCTTTGGATGAAATTAATGTAAGGTTTAGTCCAGCCAATATATGGCATTAGAAATCTACCACTGGAAAGAGAAAGGGCAGTTGGGTATAGGGAAAACTGCCTTGTACAATAGGCAGAAGTTCTGATTTCAGACGATGAGGTCAGGCTCTTTCAATAAAATGTTTCTAGAATGCAAAAGGGCAATTAAAGTTCTCCATCAAGAATATCCAATTCCCTTTTTGATACCTCTGTTTACCTAATCTAGAACTGAGTTTCCTACAGAGACCCATTACCAGGAAAGAAAAAAAAATCAGAAGTTTAATTTTTTTTAAATGTTTTTTTATTTATTTGTGTGTGTGAGAGAGAGACAGCATGAGCAGGGGAGGGTCAGAGAGAGAGAGGGAGATAATCTGAAGCAGGCTCCAGGTTCTGAGCTTGCTGTCAGCACAGAGCCTGACATGGGGCTTGAACCCACAAACTGTGAGATCATGACCTGAGCCGAAGTCGGCGCTTAACCTACTGAGCTACCCAGGCACCCCAAAAATCATAAGTTTAGAAAAGCATTATCATGTAACTTGAAATTATATCAAACTGTATAAAATATTTTTATTCAAAAAGTATATAAAACTGGCCCATTTGTTTATTTGGAAAATAAAGTTCCAACTGATTGCAATTTAGGTTCGTGTGGGTAGAAAAGACAAGAAAGAGGACATTTGAAATTAGTTACAGAGTTTTGAAACTGGAGTTATGGCTTCAGGTCAGATTGTGAAGTCCCTTACACATATGTTAAGATGTCTGGACTTGCTAAAGTTTTCCAAGAGACCCTATACATTTTTGAACAGGGAAGTAGTGTTACTAGATGTGTTGTTTAGGAAAATAATTTTTTGTCACAATGGAAAGTACAGACTTGATGGTGGCCACACTTGAGGTAACAATCCCGTCTAGGAGGCTGTTGTAGCAGTCATAGTGAGAAGTGAGGTATGAAAATTGGAATGAAGAATAAGAAATGTATGTAGGAAATATCTTTTTTTTTTAATGTTTATTTATTTGAGAGAGTGGGACAGAGAGATAGAGACAGAATCTGAAGCAGGCTCCAAGCTGTGAGCTGTCAAAAGCCTGACAGGGGGCTTGAACCCACAAGCAGTGAGATCATGACTTAAGCTGAAGTTGGATGCTTAACTGACTGAGCCACCCAGGCACCCCGGAAATATCTTAATTATAATAAGTAATATTTGATGAATTAATGTATGCACCGAGGGAGAGAGGAATAGAGGATTATTTGTTCAAAGGGCTGGAAGGTTGGTGCTATCTCTAAGACTGAAAATACTTGAGGAAGGAGAACTGCTTTGGAGATATCTGTAGGCTTATTTATTTGTAAATGTCTTTTGACCAATCAGTATCAGAAAGACTTAAGAGCTCAGGAGAAAAGAAGGGACCCTGGTGGGTGGAAGGTTTGCAGATTTTTTCAGTTGCTACCACACAATAGGAATTCTTTGCCTGTGATAGATGCGCTGTCATCATTTACTGAATGAATCCAGGAGGGAATGATAGCTTCTTGTGTCTGAGAGAAATTTTGTAGAATGAAGAGAAAAGAAGTAATGGTACCATCCAGGGTGAACATAGTTAATGGAAAGTGGAAAAAGGTAAAAAAAAAAAATGGGTTGAGAAGGTTATTTTGTTTATCCTCACTTTCCCTGTGTTTTTTTTTTTTTTTAATTAGAACTCATGGGAAAGAATTGTAATAGATTAGTTGAGACCACCATATTCCAATAATTTAGTTAATTTTGAGTATGTATCTATCAATAAATGTAGCTTCCCAGAGCGGAGAAGAAAACACTATAACCTCACAAGTTTTAAAATATTTTTTTTGTTTTTTTTCATATAAATTAGAAAAATTTTTTTAATCTTTATTTTTGAGAGAGAGAGAGAGAGCGCACATGCACAGTCGAGCTCCAGGCTCTGAACTATCAGCACAGAGCCCAACATGGGGCTTTGGCTCGAACCTATGAACCGTGAGATCATGACCTGAGCCAAAGCTGGACACTCAACCAACTGAGCCATCCAGGCGCCCCCTTCCCATAAATTTTAAATCTAGGTATACCTAATCTGGGTTTAAAAAAAAAAAGTACAATCAACTGCTTTCATTAATGGGGAAGAAAGCAGGTATAATTAAAAATTCTAATAAAAAATAAGTTATTAAGATTTATCATAAGATCCTTATCTGAGATGCTGAGAGCTACCAGTTTTATAATTGCATCTTCTTCTTTTCTCCAGCTTTGTACACATTTCTTTGCACTTGAATAATGGCAAGTGCATAATGAACTAGAGTAGTAATTAAAAGATAACTGCTAATGACTTGTCACTTGAAACTTACTGGGATGAAAAACAATTTTTTATAGTTATTGGGAATTTTTAAGGCAAATTCTTACTTGTTCTTTGATAATAGACATTTACCTTGATAGCAGTTCCATTTTACTTTTTTAATTATTGTCTATAATACTTGCTTAGTGTAACAGTTAAGACATGCATTCAGAAAAGAGATTAAAAGAGAATCTGTATTTACTATATAAACAGTCTCAATCCATACTTCATTAAAATGTTGTGTATCATACATCATGGAAAATATATCAAGGATTCCCTTAGCTAAAAATACCAAATGCACTAAAGAATATTTCATATCTTAAAATATGTATGAAGATAAAATTTTGTACTACTCCAGTTTCATGTTTAAAAAGTTTGAAGCTCTTTATAAAAATACATTAACAATTAAGTCAGCCCTATCAGTTGGACACTAACATCAACTTATATTCCCTACATTTAAGACAATAAGAAACTTACTTTGTATGGAATGATTTTATTTTCCAGCAAAGAAATAATACAAAATAAGTTTCAAAAATAAAATAATTTCTTGGGAGGGGGAAAAGATACTTCTTGCCATATGTATGTGACTTTTTTCTTTTTAGGAGGGCTTTGTTTTTTTAATGTTTATTTTTTGAGAGAGCATGAGTGGCGGAGGGGCAGAGGAGGGGGGACAGGATCTGAAGCCAGCTCTGCACTGACAGGCTGACAGCAGCGAGCCCAATGTGGAGCTTGAACTCATGAACCGCGAGATCATGACGTGAGCTGAAGTCGGACGCTCAACAGACTAAGCCACCCAGGCACCCCTGGAGTTTTGGTTGTTTAATAAACTTAAATATACCGTATTAGAAACTATATTCACTCTGGTTTAATCATGAGTTCTGTTAACATGTTAAAAGTCTCATTAATTTTGAAATTAAGAAATGTCATACTTGAAGTTTATCAAAAATAATTGTTTTAATTTTAATAATGACAGTAATATCACAATAATATTAACAGTATGTTCTGTGTTCCTGGCATATTTCTAAGCACTTCAGATACCATTATCTCCTTTTAATTTTCCTAAAACTTGTAAGATGGGCAGTGATATCCCCATTTTGTGCACAGGGAACCTATACCCCAAGGTCAGATAGCTACCAAGTAGCAGTATTAGGATTTGAACTTAGTTGTATCCAGCTTTGAAATCCATATGTTTATTAATTGATATGTCATACTATTACATTAAGATTTATCTGGGTATCCTTGCAGCATACTAGTTGCTTTGAATTTATAGTTGTTTGAAAAATCATTTTCTCCTGATATATTTTTATATTTAAAGTGGTTTGCTTATAGATAGTAGCCTATAGTTGGATCATATTTTTTGATCCACTCTGACTCTCTGCCTTTTAATTGTTGAATTTGGACCATCCAGCATTCAAAGTGATTATTGGTATAGTTGGATTAATATCTACCATATCCATTACTGTTTTCTATGTGTTGCCCTCATTCTTTGTTCCTGTTTTTGTCTTCTACTCATTTTCAGCCATTTGTGGCTTTATTTGTTACTTATTTTAAATGTTTATTTATTTTGATAGAGAGAGTGCATGGGCACAAGTGGACACAGGCAGAGAGAGTGGGAGAGACAGAATCCCAAGCGGACTCTGCGCTGATAGCCCTGACACAGGGCTCAGTCTCACTAACCATGAGATCATGATCTGAGCCAAAATCAAGAGTAGGATGCTTAACTGACTGAGCCACCCAGGCGCCCCTGCCTGTTTTGGTTTTAACTGAGCATTTTATATGATTCCATTTTCTCCCCTTTCTTAGCATATTGCTTATACTGTTTTTTTTTTTTTTACCTTTTTTAGTAGCTTCTCTGGAGTTTGCAGTATACATTTACAACCAATCCAAGTCCACTTTCAAATATCACTGTATGATTTAATGGTTGCTGCAAAGTACCTATAATAACCAAATAATCATAATTCCTTTCTCCTGTTCTTTATGCCTTGCTGTCATTCATTTGACTTTTATATAAACATACATAAGTGTATATATGTATATATTTAAGATAAATATGTGTTTATGTACATAATCAAATACATTGTTTCAACAAATTTTTATAGATCAATTAAGAATAAGAGAAATATGTTTTCATTTTACTTTTACTTAATTTCTTCAATGCTTTTTCTTTATGTAGATCTGAGTTTCTGACCTATATTATTTTCCTTCTTTCTAAAGAACTAATTTTTCCATTTCTTGCAAGGCAAGTCTACTTGCAGTAAATTCCCTCAATTTTTGTTTGAGAAAGTTTTTATTTTTCCTTTACTTTTGAAGGACAGTTTTACTGGGTACAGAGGTTGGTATGTTTTCTTCCTCTAAATACTTTAAATATTTCACTTTACTTTCTTCTTGCTTGCATGGTGTCTTAGGAAAAGTTGGATGTAATTCTTATCTTTGATCCTTTGTTGGAAAGGTAGACTTTTTTTTTGGCTTCTTTTTCAGGATTTTTTATTCTCTTTGATTTTCTGTGATTTGAAAATGATGTGCCTATCTGTGGTTCATTTGACATATATCCTGCTCAGTGTTCTCTAGATTGCTGGATATGTGCTCTGCTGTCTGACATTAATTTGGGGAAAGTCTTAGTCATTGTTGCTTCAAATATGGCTTCTGTTCTTTTTTCTTTCTTCTTCTGATATTCCCATTATAAATAAGGCATGCCTTTTGTACTTGTCCCACAGCCCTTGGATGTTCTCTTGTTTTGTTTTGTTTCCAGTCTTTTTTCTCTTTGCTTTTAAGTTTTTGAGGATTTTATTGATCTATCCTCAAGCTCAGGGGTTCTTGCCTTGGTTGCATCCAGTCTACTAATAAACCCATCAAAGGCATTCTTCATTTCTGGAACAGTGGGGTTTTTAGGATTTCCATCTGTCTGCTTACATTGCCATCTGCTCTTGCATGCAACCTCTCCATTAAAGCCTATAAATCATAGTTGTCTTAAATTCCTGGCCTAATAATTCCAACATTCCTGCCATGTCTTGCGCTGATGTTTGATGTAGCTCTTCAAATTCTGGGTGTTTTGCCTTTCTGAATGCCTTGTGTTATTTTCGTTATTTTTTAATTTTATTTTTATTGATAGCCTGACATGATGTCCCAGGTGAAAAGAACTGCTGTAAATTGGCAATATAGTGGTGATGTGTGGAAGGAGAAGTGTTATAGATTTCTGTGATTAGATCTTAGATTTTTAGTGAGCCTGAGCATCTGGGACTGTGAACTTCACAAGAGTTTCTCAGTTTTTTCCTGCTGAAAAATAAAATGGACAGAATGGAGAGAGCCAGCTGGAATTGGTGACTTCCTTTCTGAGATTGGTTAGGGTTTGCTAATACCCCAGTAGGCTAGTCTCTAGTTAAGTAGTTTGCCTGAGGGCAGGTCTTGTGCCCCAGAACAGAGTGCTCTGAGGTATTTCTAAATGGTTTCTTTTCCCCTCCCCTGCCAGAGGCAGGAGAGGATTTTTCTCCAATATTTATTGTGGGAATTTGTTCAAGAGCCAAGAGATAAATCTCACAGTATTGTGGGCATCCTCTTAGGACTTAGACTTTCATTCTCAGACTTGTTGGTAGCAAGCCTCCAGCAATTTATCAGTACAGTTCAGGTTTGTTCCCTCCACAGATTCTATTCATGAATATCTTTTTGGGTAAACCAAAACTCCCTATATTTGCCAGTCTGTCTCCAGTATTGAGGCAGTGATTTGTCTTATGACCTCCCCCCTTAAGGATCTGAGACAAGTTGTTGACTTTTTTTAGTCTGTTCAGCCTTTTTACTTCTTGTTAGGATGCAGTGGTGACTTCCAATCTCCCTAAATGCTGTTATGACTTTTTAAAATTAATATTTGTTAAGTAGGGCCCCTGGGTGCTAGATGGTAAGCCTTAGTTCAAAAAGACCACAAAAGAAATCAAAATAGGAGAAGTTTATTCCTCCCAGGTCCTAGAGGAAGTATAGGGCATTCTTTGAGGGTTCCTCAGCGGGAAATCAAGGCAGAATACAAGCAGAGAGAGCTGTAGGAACAGGGGAACATGCTAAGGACAGATTCCTGAATTCAAAACAAAAGAGTCTTACCTTACAGAAGGTCCTGGAAGGTGAGGGAGACTGTTGGTCACAGAGGGCATCGGGGAAGTCATATCAGGAACTTAGATTTACTTGCGACTTTGCAAGCTGTTATCTAGGGCATGTGCTAGTTTGGATGAGAGGCTAGTTAGCCAGACTCTCCACATATGTGAAACTGGAAACAGGCCTCTAATACATTTTTAATATGTTTATTTCAAGTGACCCTAAAAATCTATGTTTCTAGAATAATTTTAAGGTAATAGGCTAGAAAAGAATTACTTACTGAAGGTTTACATATTCTTAAATTTTTAAAAACATTTTATTTTTGAGAGGTGGGGGAGAGGGGAAGAAAGAGGGAGACACAGGATCCAAAGCAGGCTCCAGGCTCAGAGCTGTCATCACAGAGCCCAAAGCGGGGCTTGAACTAATGAACTGTGAGATCATGACCTAAGCCGAAGTACAACGCCAAACTGACTGAGCCAGCCAGGCACCCCTGAATGTTTATATATTCTATTAAATTTAAAATAATTTATAATAATTAAGCGACAGGAACTTGTTATGAAATATGAAATAAGACTTTCTTTGTATCAAATATGCCTTAAATTGCTGAATAATAGTAAATCATCATTGTAAAAGATTACTATTTACCACAAAACTAAGATATTTAATTAACTCTTTCCCAAAATACCTAGAAGAAATAGGCATTGGATGAGAACATGGATTATACAAATATTGACTTATCAGGGCCTTGGCAACAGGTTCCATAGATTTTGAATATTTGTTATTTGTTTGTTCTACTGTGAATGTGTAATTGGAAATAATCATATATATTACATATAACTTTTTAAAAAATCAACTGGAAATTAATTTATAATCTAGAGTTAGAAATTCATCCTACTGGTTGTGTTTTGAATTTATTCAAGTTTTCTTGAATTTTTATTTTTTTCTTCTATTCTCCTCACCTGTTGTTTCACCTGCCAAGTGAGAGTGCTCTACTCTTTTAAAGTGTTGGTTGGAAAATAATGAGTTGTATCAAAAATTTTGATTTACCACCTCTTTCATATTTTTGGTTGATTTACCACCTGTTTCATATTTTTGGTGTCCCTTCTCTACTTAGATTTCTATGGGAAGCCACTGCCTCCCCTGACTGCGCGACAGAGACCTAACAGTGATGCTCATGATGTGGCTTCGTGACCCAGTCATGGGGATGAGCTTTTTAAAGATCTGCAAGATGAACTAGAAGACCTTACTTCTCAAAGAAGAAAAACCCTAAGCGTTGATGACTGGGATGACTGGGGCAAGATAACCATAGTGATTTCAGTGAGATAAATAGCCAAAGACCTGACAGATAGGACAATTACCCATGTTATTCATGGTTGTAAAAAAAAAAAAAAAAAAAAAAAGGAAGCAAAATGACCAGTAGACGGGATGAGCATTTGAATCAAGTTAGCAGGAGTTACTGTTGACTCTGGTTTTTACAGTCCTACTCCTGGGCATATTCCTGAAGGAAAACCTCTTCAGAAAAAGAGCCAATGGACTCTACACACTTTCTTTACTGTTTGTTTAATAGTCTTTATTACTGTATCTTAAACACATTTTTTTTGTAAGATACATGTGCATGGAAGGGGAACTCTTGGGAATTTATAACCTAAGTTTTTAACTTTTTATATTTTTCTAAAACATAATTTTAATTACTATGATATTGCACTTTTCTATAGATGCTTTGTTTAAATTGTGTCTGGAAATGGAGTTGATTTACTTGACAAACATAAACTCCACAAACAACATATTTATATGGTTTCAGATATATTTCATAATAGTATTATTCTTGAAGTATACATCCTAATTTTACCCAATTTTAAAATAATACCTTTTAAAAATAGATTCTTAGATCTTTATTCTACCAAATTATATTATTTGAAAACACTACCCAAGGAGAGTTCAATTTTTTTGTCAGTTCCTTTTTTTGGTAATGATCACAATAAATAAAAAAGAGACTTGAAATATGTTTTTGACCTAAGTGCTTTTTAAATTAATAAAAATGTCATGTGAGATATTATTAAAATTCCTAATGAACACCTCTTTTATAAGATAGATCATTTCAGATCAAGGTGCTCCGTGTTACCCCCTCATTCTGTCAGAAGCTTCAGTGACTCTTTTAGGTTATTCTAATTGTTTTGTGCCTTGGAAATAAAGGCAGAAAGACTGGAAAAGCGACTGTAGTACAGAGACTGGTGTTTTATAACCAGGAAATGCTTGGGTACTAATCAATAAGAATAAAAATGATGGTTTAAAATTACTTTTGTGAAGAAATAGTTCCAAGATAATTTCTCAATTTAAAATAATAGCACTTCTCTTGCACTAAAGAATGGCATCTATAGGATTTTCTACTTGTCTGGCATTTAGACGAACTTATAGAAATATACTTCAAACTTATAGAAATATACTTTGAGTAATAGATTCATAGTGTTGCACTTAACTGAAAGTGTACATTTATATCAAGATGAAAATGCAATATGAAAATACAATATGAATGCTTATCACCTTGTTAAAATTGGTGAGTTGGGTAACTTGTACTGAAAACAGGCATATACTAGTATCTGACAATAACAAGATTAAATATGTCTAAGACTGTTTAATATGGTTATTTACTTTAAAATTTTAACTTTGGAGATTCACATTTTAATCATATTTTATAACAACGTAAATATGATAGATGGCTGAAATGTAAGGAAAAGCAACACAAGAACACAGAATTTGAACTGGATTTTAGAGAAAAACTTGTTTGTATATCTTTTTTGGCTCCTTTTCGTAACATTTACATTTAGTCATTTTTTAAAAAAACTAAACTTATACTTTTGCCACCTTTTTAATTTTTATCTAGTTTGAGAATAAATAAAAGTTAAAATTTTTTTTTGTTTCCTACCAGTGATTACTGTAGTATACAATAAAACTGAGTTCATTTATTAGAAATGCATAAAAATGATTTTGAAATTAAATACATGACAAAGTGAAATGTTTTATATATGTCTCTCAAAAATTTGTATTCTTAAAACATTCTAAAAATATTTTAAAAGAAGTTTTGTAAATCCAGGTTGCTTTTAATAGGTAAATGCCTATTTTGTTATATGCTGCATTTTTATTCATAATCATCATGAATTATGACATTTTCACACAATAAAAATAATTTATATCAGTATCCTGCTTTGCTTTTCATTTGATAAATTTAAATGATTTCTTTTTGGTAACAAAATAGAGAAGGATTTATAATATGACTTTTGGAAGAGTCAACAGATTAAAATAATGACTTTATTTTATATGAAACCTTTTTTCTCTGCACAATTTTTATATATGTAGAAAAGAATATTGTCATTTTAAAGGCCATTAAAAATAACATCATATCACTTTATGATTCTAGATGATCCAATGTCTGTCTTTTGTTAAAGCTGCTACTGACCCAAAGATATATCTTACTTATTTAAAAGAGAATTCTATATGCCTTTTATGCAAAAAGCATACATCACATATATCCATTATCATATGTGATTCTAACTATGAAATTATCAAAGCAGCACTAGAAAGAAATGTTCTAAAACAGTAATAATGATTTTTTTAGAGTTGTGTGTTTTCCTCAGTTTTTCGAACTAGTTTTTAAAATTTTGCTTTTAAATTACTTTTATAATGGGAGAATCAAACTTACAATTTTGTAAAAATTAAGTGCCATGTTTTCTGCAAGCTTAATATTAAATGGTCTTTCAAGTGTCAAATGAAAGACTTAAAATGTAAAACTTATTTTGAATAGCCCAGAAACATTATCTATAGAATGTGCCATTATATTTGCAGCTAATCTCTTAACTAAGTATTCTTTTACTAGGACAATATTTTATTTTATTTGATACTCAGTTCTATGAGCTATACTCTTCATGTTATTCAGTTTCTCCTATTCTCCACTAATCTAATACTTCTAGATGTCAAAAGTTTTATACATATAAATAAATATATAAATAAAGCTGTAGCTTATAAACTTTATTATCCTTGGCTTTAAATAAGTTTTTCTCTACATGGAGAAGTTTTGCAACTAAGATTCTGCTAATACTATTTATCAAGAAAATATTCCTGCTGATCCAAAAAACAGACTCAGATGAGTTACTTTAAACTTTTTTTTTTTTAACACTTATTCATTTTTAGGAGGTAGAGACAGAGCATGAGTGGAGGAGGAGCAGAGAGAGAGGGAGACACAGAATCAGAAGCAGGCACTAGGCTCTGAGCTGTCAGCACAGAGCCTGATGCGGGGCTCGAACTCACAGACCGTGAGATCATGACCTGAGCCAAAGTCGAACACCCAACTGACTGAGCCACCCAGGTGTCCCCTCAAGAGTTACTTTAAAGTATGATTATAGGGGCGCCAGGGTGGCTTAGTCGGTTAAGCGTCCGACTTTCGCTTAGGTCACGATCTCGCAGTTCGTGGGTTCGAGCCCTGCGTCGGGCTCTGTGCTGACTGCCAGCTCAGAGCCTGGAGCCTGTTTCAGAGTCTGTGACTCCCTCTCTCTCTGACTCTTCCCTGCTCACGCTGTCTTGCTCTCTCTCTCCTAGAAATAAATAAAACATTAACAAAAAATTTAAAAAAAAATAAAAATAAATTATGATTATAAATTATCAAAATAACAATAATCCATTAGCTTTGTGGAAACACTAATGGAGGCCTTTTGCAAGGGAGAGGGGAGGTAGAAAATCAGAAATGAATTTCATTTATTTTTATTTTATTTTGAAAATGTTTGTTTATTTTTGAGAGAAAGAGTGCATATGCACACATGCAGGAGAGGCAGAGAGAGCAGGAGAGAATCCCAAGTAAGCTCCTCGCTGTCAGCTCAGAGCTAGAGGATGAGGGGCTCGATCCTAGAACCACTGATTCAGAACCTGATCTAAAATCAAGAGTTGGTCACTCAACCAACTAAGCCATCCAGGGGGCCCAGAAATGAATTTCCTTTAATGAAGGGGAGCAGTTTATAACTGAAGAAAAATAGGAATAAAATTATTTGCTTGTTTAGGCTGAGTTGTAAATTCTTTCTGTGTGCTGATGAGGCAACCGTATTTATGACCTAGATAAATGGGTGAGTGGTCTCCAGATTTTTATGATACCTCTTTTCCAGTAAATATTTAAGTTAATTGTATTTGTTTAGTGGATCTGCCATAACATAGTACCAAAGACTTGGTGGATCAAACAACAGAAATTAATTTTCTTAACAGTTCTGAAGTCTGGAAGTCCAAGATCAGCCTGGAACCTTGTTGGCAGGATTGGATTCTTTTGAAACTTCTCTCCTTGGCTTATAGATGGCCTCCTTCTCCCTGTTTCCTCACATGATCTTTACACTGTGTATGTTTACCCTTAGTGTCTCAGCCTGTTTAAACTTCCTCTTTTTATAGAGATATCAGTTAGGACCCACCCTAAAGACCTTCTTTAATTTAATCACCTCTAAAAGAGTATTTCTGAGGGGCGCCTGGGTGGCTTAGTCGGTTGAGCGTCCGACTTTCGCTTAGGTCATGATCTCGCGGTTCGTGGGTTCGAGCCCCGTGTCGGGCTCTGTGCTGACTGCCAGCTCAGAGCCTGGAGCCTGTTTCAGTCTGTGACTCCCTCTCTCTCTGACCCTCCCCTGCTCTCTCTCTCTCTCTCTCTCCTAGAAATAAATAAAACATTAAAAAAAAAAAAGTATTTCTGAATGGTCACATTTTGAGGTACTGGGGCTTAGGGCTTCAGCATGTGAATTTTGAGGGGATAATTTTCAGTTCCTAACAGTTACATATATGTTCTGTACTTTATACATGTACTTCCCCTTAAGTTTTTTTAAGTTTTGATAAAGTTAAATAAAAATATAAGTTATATTTACTTTACACATGCAGTGAATTGTCTGATAGAATTTGTACATACCACTTTGGAGGACCAAAATAATAAAATGAGAATCTGCTGATTAGCTACTCTCCCCGAAGTGAAATTTCAAGATTGCCTCTAACTATGCTTTGTTCTCTTGCTTTGATTGTGGATTTCTTTGTTGTGTTTTTCTGCCAGTCATTGTAAGGAGCTAATGGTCTCTGGATGTTGGATCCTTTTACTACAAAGCCTGTCTTTACCTTTTTGACACATAAGTCTCTCTACAAACATGAAGGGTTTTGAGAAATGTTTTATGTAAATATGAAAATTCATAAAATATACAGAAGTCTATAAAGTATACTTATTCTGAAACACTTTTTTTAAATGTTTATTTTTGAGACAGAGACAGAGAGAGAGCATGAGTGAGGATGACGGAGAGAGAGGGAGACACGGAATCTGAAGCAGGTTCCAGGCTCTGGGCCATCAGCACAGAGCCTGAGGCCGGGCTCAAACTCAGGAATTGTGAGAACATGACCTGAGACATAGTCAGCAGCTCAACAGACTGAGCCACTGAAACACTTCTTATGAAGTGGTATGAATTTTGCCAGGTGCCCACTGAAACACTTCTTATATCAATTTCTTATCTGCAATAAACTTGCTTAGATATGTAAAAATTCTTTTCCTGCCCAGTGTAGGTCTTTATTTAAGCTGCTTTATTCTTTAGTAATAATAATAAGATATATAATTGCTGGTATTTGTGTCAGCTCAATTTCTTATATCTGCAGTGTTTTACAACAAGTCTGCTAACAGTTTCTATTTTTAAAATTTAGTGTGGAGCTTTGTTTATTCTCCAGTAGCTATTTGATGTGAGGTAGGGGAAGTCCACTAACATTCTCATTATACATTGTTGATTCTAGATAGATTCATGGGTTAAACATTAAAGATCAAACTGTAAAGAAAAAAAGTGGAAGAAACAATAGCTTGCCTCTGTGAAAAGAAAATTTCAAGCCCCAAAGCAATGGAATTAATTACAAAATCAAATAATTTTGAATTCTTTATAATTTTATAACTGCATAAAATTTTAAAGTATTTTTACATTTAAAGTTAAAGGATTGAAAGAAAAAAATGGGAAAATACTTGAAAATGTGATATGGTCAACACTGATATAAATAAAAATAGCACGCAGGCATCTATAGGTAAGTGGACATGAGGTAATTTACAAAAGAAGTATAATAACTAATGAGATTTGAAAACTTCAAATTAACGACATAATAAAAAATCATAAGGCTATCAGACAAACATGAGGAAAAATGTTGATCCATAATAAGGAGGTAGCTAGTATACTAACCTCCATACTTTGGAATACTATGCAACTTTCAGAAATGATGTAGATAAAGAATTTTTAATATAAGAAAGTGCTTATAAAAACAAAGGATACACTATATGTACTATTTGATTAACCTTGAAAATGCATAAATATAGAGGAATACACCAAAATAATAGAGATGATCTCTAGTGGCATGATGCCCATTTTTCATTCTCATAAGCTTTTTTTTTTTTTAAATATTTTTATTTATTTCTAGGAGAGAGAGAGACAGCATGAGCAGGGGAGGGTCAGAGAAAGAGGGAGACACAGACGAAACAGGCTCCAGGCTCTGAGCTGGCAGTCAGCACAGAGCCCGACGCGGATCTCGAACCCATGAACAGCGAGATCATGACCTAAGCGAAAGTCGGACGCTTAACCGACTAAGCCACCCAGGCGCCCCTATTCTCAAAAGCTTTTGATTTTACATTTTCTTTAGTAAGCATTAGCTTATTTAAAATCAGAAAATAGAAACACTCTAAAAAAGCAAAAATATAATAGAACCAATTTGACCTCTTTCCAAGCATTACACCATTTCCTAATAGAAATAGAAAGTATATGGATTCTATATCTCCTTAAAAGTCCTTAAAATGTCTATTTTGCAAATATACTACCACATTAATTCATTAAATGCAAACATTCTGTAATGAGCACAGAAAAAATATAAAATCTTGAGTATAGAAGCTGAAAGGTAGACTAATGACTTTCCCTAAACAACAAACTGCATTTAATCACTTTGCTTCTTAATACGATATTTAATACTATTTTTGCACCAAATCTAAATTCACTTTTATATTACTGGGGAACTTGTTCAAATAAGCTTCTAATCACATTAGAGGTGATGAAATTTTTCTTTTTACATGGTTTTAAGATTTGTACCTGTCGTATATGCCTATACTGATATTTTGAGTCTCAAAATGATGATGCTCATTAGATATCAGGGACATATGAAGCGCTGATTTCCTGATGAATTGCTTATCGCTGTTACAAGTGAGCAACTGAATAGTAACACTAAAAAAGCAAATAAACTGCTGTTCCTATCAGAATGGGTGTAATACCTTCCTCAGAACTAATAACACTGCCCCTGGTAAAGGTGGGTGGGAGGCTAGTGTGTAGGATCATTTTGGTCTTCAGGCATTTGGTATCAGAACGTGATGATAATAATCTCAAAGATCATGATTGTGAAGATAATACATAGCAGCAGCTAACGTTTGGGCGTTTGTTTCCTACTCTTTGTTCTAAATGCTTTACTGTATTTCAATTAATCCTTTAACCCTCCCCGTTAAAAGAAATTATCCCAATTGACCATCTCTAGGAAATAGGTGCCTTAATTTCTTCATCATATCCGTCCCTTTTACCCTGTTCTGAATATCTGAGCTAAACGAGAGGGTCATCAAATTTGGTAGATTAATCAGTAACTAGCTTAGCTTCTGAGACCATTTTTCACTAATGATCATTATACAAAACCTAACAGTAACAAAGACTTTTTCTTTCTTTCCTGTTTTTTTTGTTTTTTTGTTTTTTTGTTTGTTTTTTTTTTTTAATGAGCCGCAAGCATACAGCAATCCCTGTGATGTTAAAGGTTCAACTTGACGTTCTGGACCCTCAAAGCTCCGCCCAAGGGCCTAGCCACGCCCCTCGCAGTAAGTACAGCCCCCATCAGCCTTCAGAGGAAGTAACTTAGCGCGTGCCTCTCGCGGGATCTACGCCCCTTTCTGGCGAGATTTCGATAACGTAGGCACAGCAGTATCTCGCGGGAAGTTGAACCGGCAAAGTGAGGGATGGAAGCAAATGCGGGTGAATGTCGCACGTGAGGCTGTGCTGTTGAATTCCTGGAGGTGTTGGATGCTGGGTGGTTAGACCTTTTCTTTGGCATCTCCTAGAGGGATAATGTTGACCCGGGTGAGGCTGGCACTCAGCTGGGCTCCTCGGCGAGGGTGGGGGTTGCGATGAGGGAACTCCTCGAGCTGTTGGTTTCTCTGCTGCTCAGTCCCAACCCCTAGAATAATGCTGAATGCTCTTCTCGTGAGCGTTTTCTGTCGTTTTCTTCCAAGACTCACCTGCATTCCAAGTAACTTGTATGCAATCCAGCCGGTAAACTTTATGACCCACACCCTTGCGTTTTGAGCAGAATGCATGCTCCTCCAGGGCTGAGACTATCACTGTTTTTTCCTGGGAGCTTAGAACGATGTTACATACTCAGCACTCAAATAACTCAGATGAGTTAGTGAAATACAGTTGCAAGGGAGTTTCCACAGGAATCGAGTGACTTTTTCTTTTTTGAAGTAGCCTTTTTATTTTAGAACACTTTTACATAAAAGCTGCAAAGATAATACAGACTTCCCATATGCTTTTCACCCAGTTTCCCTTAATGTTAACACCTAGCTTGGCTTATGTAATTTTGTTCCTTGAACACAGCTTCCTCTAGTTATTCCAGAGGAATACTAGAATTCCTCTGAGTAATCCCGTTACTCTAGAATTAACACCACTAATTCTTTAACCATTGTTTTTCCATTTGAGCAATAATTGCTTAAAGAAACCCCTTTTTTGGTAAATGTCTAAGTACAGTTTTGTTACATTTGAGTTCCTGCTCCCTTGCAAGAACTAGTAATTATTTTAAAACGTGTTCTTAAGGAAATAACTGTACTAATTTGAAGTTTAATAAATTTGTAATAGTAGATTGTGTCAGCAACGTTTTCTTGTTATCATAGCTGAAAACAAAATCAGAGAGGAAGCTTGCTAAACAAATTTGCAAAGTTGTATTGGATCATTTTGAAAAGCAGTACTCCAAAGAACTTGGAGATGCCTGGAATACAGTAAGGTTAGTATAATTCATCTCGGGATGCCTATAATAGAACACAAAATAAAGCCTTTTCGGTGGGGAGGAGGCATGCTGTGAGGATAAGGGGTAAAAGAATTTAAACCTGGCTTTCCTTTTCCTACAGTGGCTAGAGAAGGGAAGAACTGGGAAGAAATAGATGGAATCATAGGAAAATGGAAAGAGGAGAAAGAAAACTTTGTAAGAAAAAAATCGTTAGGCCCTTGCCTTGAGCAGTTTTGATCTTTGAAACAGGAATGCCCACCAGTTTGACAAAATGAATTCTACTGTAACAGAAAAATCTTAAAACTTTTGACTGTTTTCTGAAATTCAGAAAGTAATACAACATATATTTAAAGCCAGCACTGCTCTGTCTTAGCTAGAGTGACTTTATTTGATAGTCCTATTTCCTCCCTGTGTCTATGGCTGGCTATGTTTTGACCACATGTGCACACACAAATTCTTTAAATGTATTACTGAAAACAAAACATTTCATGGATAGAAGTGAGAGAAGTTTGATTTGTGTGTTTAGTTTTACCTTTGGTCTGAATGTTATTCCATGGATTCTTTACACTGAGCTCTTACACAGTGTGTTCCATGCTCCGTGGTCTAGAAAGAGCAAGACAAACCCCATGTCTGATTTGCTTGCAGTCTGGTGTTCATAGTTTATAAATGACTAGTTCCATAAATATCCTGATAGAAATGAGCAGGAGTACCTTGTCTTATTTAACAAAGCCCAAGGGTGCCATCAAAGGCTTGAGGAGAAGCCAGGCATTGGGGCTTCACAGGAGTTACCTCGGCAAAAAGAACCAGCAGTTTAGCCATAAAGAATATGTGCTGCTTCTGAAGCTAGAGGCAAATGCCCAGTACATTTTGTTCAGGGAAAAGAAAAAGTTCTGTGGCTATTAACAGTGGAAATTTGTTTGCATTGTCTTCTTGAATCAACTCAATAACAGCTTCTCATTTACAAACGCTAGCTTTAAGCATTTTTTAAAACAGATTACATAGTGACTGATAAAGTCTGAGGCTGTTCTGAGATGATTTTAGGACAGATTACGCTGTTTTAGAAACTTATAGATGTTAGAATATGAAAAAGTCGTTTATAATTGTGGTTTTTATTTCAAAACTAGATCTTAAAATGGGCGTCTTCTGGCACAGAGAAGAAAGGGAAGTATGAGAGTAAAGTGTAATAAATTCATTATGTTTTTGGTATGCAAAGTTACTTACGTAGTATATCCAAACAACCTCCTGCCTACTGTATGTTTATTATGTACCAGATGATATTGACTCTCTGTGCTCCTTGGAACAAAGCTCTGAGGTTTGTTTCCTGTTTCTTCTCACCTGATAAAACCAGAGCAGGGGTTTGTGTCCAGGCTTTCTGGTTCAAGAATTCCCACTGCTAACCCCTATTTTCACACCTGGGGTGTAATTAGGCATACATGGATGATTTCAAGCAAATAAATAAATAAATAAAGATTTTAAAAGGTGTATTGTTTTCAGACTTTATAGTAGTCAGGCTACTCCTACCCTGTAATGAGTTATTTTTCTGTTTAATGTGCTCAGACAGATTTATAAATTATTGTTTGACCCTAAACAAAATGAGCAATGAACCTCAAATCTATTTAATTAGCTGTGCCTTCTGCTTCATCTATCTTTTTGTTGGGTATTCATGGTAATTTAAGTTTTGCATAAATGTGCTAAATTTGCCATGGGCAAAATAAAGGCTGAGCTTGGAAAGTAGTCTGAGCATGGAAGATGGCATGGGGAAATAAGAACAAATATTTTTCATTTCTTTAACTTTTATTTGGAAGACATAATATCATGGTGTCGAGTCTGTTTACTTCCAGGGAAAGGTGAGTGCTTTTTTGTCCTCTACCTCGAAAGCAATGTTACTCAACATTTTTTGTTTCCTTTCTTATCTAACAGATTTAGATAGTGGGGAAGATTTAGTATTTACTTAAATTTTATTGTTTTGTAATAACTTGCTTTACCAAGTCACCCTTGGAGCAATGCTTTAAAGTTGCTACAGTGGGTTCAAGTTTTGCTCTGCGTGTTGCCTACATGTTATCCTTCAGGTCAGTGCGTTCATGGTAGGACTTGAAACTTCCCTCAGTTTGCTGTCACTGCAAGCTGTGCGGTCCTCCGTAGGCTTTGTTCCATAGTTCTCAGTATATTCTGGTGACTTCACTTAGATTCATACTAGGCAACCTCAAAAGCATGTTGTTTTTCCCTTCCAAATCTGTATTGTCATTGGCTGCTTGCATATTTTATCTCAGTTGAGGGTATCACCATTAATATGTTTCCTCTTCTCTACACCTTCAAGGTAAAGAATGAACCTTAATCAAAAATAAGTTTGGCCTTCGCCCTCAGCTCCTCAGAGGTTATCTGTAAGCCCTTGGAATGTCCTGCCTAAGAGTGTCCTTGTATACCTGGGGGATTGGGCCACACTGGAAAGTCTAGCAGTGTGATTTATGGTGGCGGCTATGGGCCGTGGTATCAGCTCGCCCTCTGACCTCTAGAGGAGCTGGAGACTAAAGACTAGCTGGTTGGTCATGTTTGTGCGACTGAACCCCAGTAAAATCTAGACTCCAAGCTTGGTTGAGCCTTCCTACTCGGCAGTACTCTTCTGTGCATGTTGTCACATGTTGTTGCAGGAAAAGATGTCCTTGTCCATGATTCCCCTGGAGAGGACAACTGAAATCTTCATGCTTTGAACTTTGCTGCGCTCTGCACCATGTCTCTCTTACCTGGACTGACTTTAGTCTGTCTTGGGGGCTCCAAACTACATACCACCATATACCACTGCCCTGCCTCCCATCAAAATTGAAATGCCCAGCTCTTGCGTTTTCCTGAGAAATTTCTTAATTTGTATTTCATTTTTATCTCCTCTATTACTGTTGAGTTAGCCCTTCATCATTTCTTATTTGGCATATTGCAATTGCTTCTTTCCATAGTCTCCTACCTTTAGTATTTATTTGTTGACTTACTTTAGCAGCTGCTTTTATGGCACTCTACACCAGGCAATATTCTGATCACTTTACAAATACTAACCTAATCCTCTGTACAACCTTCTGAAGTAGTTATTACTGTTGACAACATTTTACAGTTGGAAAGCTGAGGCAGATCAGGGTTCCTTAACTTGCCCAGTAACACACAGCTCATATTTGAAAGAGCCTTGGGAGTTTGTTTTACCCACCGTGTGGTGCTACTTCTCAGTGTCATCATGTGCCTTGCGCCACTGCTGGAGTACGAGCCTCCTCTGCTCCCCTGCTGTCTGTGGCATTCTGCTTGGACTAAATACATCTTTGTGGCTAGACAGGCTCTTTCATCCCTTCAGAACTGGATATGCTGTTCCCTCCGCAAGGGATCATCCTCTCCTTTTTCCTTCTGTACAGTGGTTAAAGTATAGGTTTAAATCCTACCTCTGCATCTTGTAGCATATGACCTAGGCAAGTTACTTAACATCTCTGTGCCTCACTATCCTAATGTGTAAAATAGGATCTATTTCAAATAATTATTTGGGAAGATAAAATGATTTCATATAGATACAAAGTGCTTAGAAAATTGTTTGACTTATTGTAAACCCTCGATACATGATAGCATTATTTTTATTACTGTTACTACCCAATTCTCCATCAGGCTGTCACATATACCCTTGGCAAAATTAGTTCTGCCTTTGTGTTTCCATTGCCTTTTGTTGATAGAGTTGTTACAATTCTTTGAAGATTGTATTGTCATAATTTATTAAGTTGTCTCCTGACAAGGGAGGGTCTTGAAGAACCAATACCTTGAGACTCAAGCAGTTCATCTACTTACTCAATTTAGTGCTTAATAAACCAGGCATTGTGCTAAGTATTGTGATACAAAGATGGATAATATATATATAATCTGCCTTCAAATATATATGAGAAGAGGATTACTTGGAAATCTTTATATGAAGTTTGGAAATTTTGTGTGCACTTTGTAGAAAGCAAAACAAAAGAACCTCAGTGAAGTCTGGCATGTCTGTAAATTATATAATATATATTTAATTCAGACACTTTTCTCATTAATCCAGAGTTCACATAATTCACATCTAGAGAGAAAAGATATTATATAACCAGATCGCATTAACAGAATCTCTGAAGGGGATGGAGTGGGATGGTTGGGGAAAACAAATGAACTAGTGTTTGTATTTCTATTTTGTTCTTTATATTGGCTTTACACAAATATTCAATTTTAATTTTTGCAAATTCCTGTGAAGTAGTAACTTTTATCCCGTTTAAAATTCAGAAGTTAGGAAGTACCAAATTTAATGGCCAGTTCAGGCCTGTGATTTTAAAATCCATGCCTTTTCCTCTACCAAGTGTGCTGCTCTGAAGGGTCTGGAATCCCAGCCTTGGGAGTGTGTGCACAGGCCTCCTGATATAAGGGAGTAGATATGCAGCATTTTCAGCCTTTTGTTGGTCTCTACCAGAAACACAAATCTTTACTCAGGGCTTCCTATCTGAGGTACTATGGATAACAGATATGGACAGAGATTACCCTTCTCTGAGAGATAGTAAGGAAACAATGTCAGGAAACAGTAGGGGGTGACCAGCTCATCATTAGAATCTTTGAAGAATAAAAATAAAAGTCTCAGACATTCTTAGGTGCTCTTACATGATTCATTGGATTCACTTCTACACCACACTTTTAAAATGGTTGAATGAGCACCCTCTAGTGGATACCAGTAGTAGTAAAAGAAACAGTATTTTTTTTTTTTAACGTTTAAAATATTTATTTATTTTGAGAGAGAATATGCGTGCGTGTGCGTGTTGGGCAGGAGCAGAGAGAGGGAGTGAAAGAATACCAAGCAGGCTCTGCACTGTCAGAGCCTGAGACGGGGCTCATCTTACAAACGGTGAGATCATGGCCTGAGCTGAAATCAAGAGTCTAGTGCTTAACTTACTGAGCCACCCAGGCACCCCATAAAAGGGATTTTTACTTTTTTAGCCACAGGGTTATACCACTTGTGCTTAGCAGTACCTAGATAAAATGATTTTTCATCCTCATCATTAGGTAGGAAGGTAGAATGAAGAATAGAATAGTAAGAAAAAAAAATCACATAAAAGTCGAATGAAAATATCATCAAATAACGTTGTCCAAATAAAATAACATATTATGTAATTTTTCAAGGGATATTTGAACACTGGCAAGTAGCGGTAATCAACTTCTAGATTCTCAGTTTTCATGTATGCTTTTTCAGAAAATTACTTTATTTCTCTGCCTAAGAGAGTACTTATTCTCCTTTCCAAACCTGACTTTCTGTTACTGTCTGTCTCCCATTTTACAAAAAAAGGACATACTTTAACCATCCTGACTCTTGCTCATTGCATTTCTCCAGGGTGTCAACACCTCCATACGCCAGAGACTATTGGAATGCCATTGTTAAGAGTTTAAAAAAGTAAATGACTAATGACTAACAAATCTTTGACAGGTCAGGTGGTTTCCAAAGTTTACTTTTAACAAAAGTAAAGGAGCTTGAATTGAGTTGTCAATTAACAGAACATTTAAAGTATTTTTGATGATAGGTCATTAAATAATCTGGGAAATAATCCGAAAGAAATAGAAGTCAAAAAGGGAGATATTTGCTATAGCAAAACATATTAAATTCCCACCCACTTATTTAAGCGAAGGTTTTTATCAGCCTTTGTAAAAACAAAATAGAATAAAATTGATTTGAACCCTGACTTAGTATAGTACTAGGAAATATTCATCTCTGGATAAGTGGGGGTTGGTGAAGCTCATTTCATTGAGATCCATTTCCTATCACTTTTCCTTTTTTTTTTTATGTTTTTTAAGTTTATTTATTTTAAGAGACAGAGAGAGAGAGAACATGTGTGTATCAGTCGGGTAGCGGTAAAGAGAGGGAGAGGAAGAGAGAATTCCAAGCAGGCCTCATGCTGTCAGCACCAGCGCTAGAACTCATAAACGATGAGCTGTGATCTGAGCTTAGATCAAGACTTGGATGCTTAACCAACTGAGCCATCCAGCCATCGCTCACTTTTTCTGTTGATGCTTCATAATCATCAAATCAGTAATAAGTTATTTTCCTCAGTTTTGTAATGACAATTTTAACAGGTTTCCATTTTAACACTTAGAGATTTAGGCCACAAGGAAAACAAAGTTAGTATATGTACGTGTGGAGGGGTGGGTAGGCAGAGAAGTACAATAGGGCAATAAAAGATTTCAAGCACAAAAATGTATTAGGATAAAGTTATATGGGGAAATAGAATGTAAATAGAAAAAGGAACTATAAAATTTTCACCTGTTTAAGAAGAGTCAGTCCATGAATATTTAAATGGACAATGATGGGTTTCAAAATCACTCTGGTATTTAGGTTCCATTGGATTCATTTTAAAAAGTGGTATAATTTATGTTTTAAAATGTCAGTTTTTATAGTATGCTGGAAATTACATTCTTAGACATATGGGGAAGATTTTGATGCCAACTTAAAATGTTCCAGAGGGTACATAATTTTCTCAAAATGGTATCAGTTGAAGGTACTAGCAAAACATTTTCAGGTCACTGATCTTGTGGGTCCCACTTCATCTGGCTGCTGATGTACTTGAATTTCTGTCATTGAAGACCAATAAGTAGAACAGTTTCAGACTCCTCATGAATCTTGAGGGTGGAGAATGTCTTGTTGATTAATGTACACTCCCTCCACTGTCTGCTGGGCTTCTTGCCCATCCAGTCAGAGCTTTGGACTTGAGTAGCCATTGGCATGCCAGCCTAAGGGGCATCATTCCACGAGTGCAATCACTGGAGAGTGTATGTCTGTGTGGGTGGGGTGCACACACTTGTGGTGTGCACATGCCCATGCTGGAAGGAGGGAACATTCATGGTAATTGAGTGCAGGGGGAGCTGAGATCCACATTAATAGGCAGTTTTGCTTTCTCAGGGCTAGGAAGCAGCAGCCTGAGCAGCCCCTTCCTCAAGTGGTCCCATGTCAGGTCCTCAGGGCAGTGTGCATCAGTCTGTTCCACAGTGTTAGAAGTGATGGGAGACCAGGGCACTGACATTAGGTGAGGTTGGGTGCAGATTCTCTGCCTCTCCCTGCGGTATGCCACTAATGCTACAGTACCAGGATCTCACACTCTGTTAAACTTTAAAGTGAGCCATATTGTTGAATCAGGTACTTCTACTTAATAGTGATGTAACTTTGGGTAAGTTGCTGAATTTCTGAAAGTTTTAGTTACCGAACTTCTAAAATGGGGGTCCGTAGCTCCTCTTCACAGTAATGATGGTTAAATGGAGTAAGCATGCAAAATGCATATTGTAAGTATATGATCAGTAATTTTTATTATTAGTTTCAGGGTGAGGTGGAGCAAGTGAGTTGGGTTATGGGTAGAAAGGCTTCCTTGGGGAGATAAATCCTAAACTGCCCCCTCAGTCAGCCAGGCTATAGGTGGTTCATTGTAGCTCAGAAAGGGCATTTTAGGTAGAGGCAGCAGTTTATCTTGAGACTGGTAAAGGCTAAAGAAAACATGTTCCAGGAAATTCAAGTAGTTCAGTAGGGCTGTGTATATGTTAGGAGGAATCAGAAAATGTATTTGTTCAAAGCAAGTTCTTATTTTATCTAGTTGTTAAAGAATGAGGACAATTTCTGAAGATTTCCTGTCTCATTCTGCCATAAGTTTTTAAATGCAATGAGGCTCTCTCTTTTAAAACTTTATCATGTTGTACTTGACCCACACAATCTTTCATAAAACACACTAGACTGCTTTTTTTTATGTTTATTCGTTTTTGAGAGAGAGAGCCTGAAAGGGAAGGAGCAGAGAGGGGGGTACAGAGGATCCTAAGCTGGCTCTGTGCTGACAGCAGTGAGCCTGATGTGGGGCTCAAACTCACATACTGTGAGATCTCGACCTGAGCTTAAGTCAGACACTCATCCAGCTGATCCACCCAAGTGCCCCTAGACTACTCTCAATTCCCCAAATGGACTGTTCTTCATACCTCTGTGCCTGTGCATGTGCTATTGCCTTTGCCCTTGAACTTCCTTTCTTATTTTGGCCTGTGGCTAATTCCTCCTCATCCTTCAAGATTTAACATTGTATAATGTATAAAAATAACTAGTGTTCCTAAGCTATCCTTTTATATACAGTGAGGTTAAAAGGAAATATGCAAGATTAGTAACTTTTATACTAAGAGATCTGAAAGAAAATGTGAATAAGTGGAGAAACATTATAGTCTGGTTTGGAAACTAACTGCAATAAGGGTGTTAATTCTTCCTAAATTTAGTGTATTTAATATGATCATAGTTAAGGTTTCTATCCTCATAGATATTTTATAAAATTAACTGACAAACTGATTTCTGAAGTTCATCTGAAAGAATAAACATTCTAAAATTACTTTGGAAACTCCAAAGAAAAGAGAGATTTGCTTTGTCAGATATTAACCAACTGAAAGTGACCTACCTTTGTTAGCTAAAGGGGTGGACACATGATGTCAGCCAAGCTACTCCAATCTGTATTAATTATGTTTCTGACCATTATTTCTCTGTTACTGTGTGATTCAAAATCGGGAGTAGATTTCCATCCAGTTTGGAGGATAAGATTAGGATGTACTGAAGTAAAAGTTACAGCAGTCATTCACAGATTTCCCTTTTGGGTCCATTTTAGTTCAGTGGTTCCCAAAGTATGGTTTTGGATTAGCAGCGTCATTATCACCCTAGAGCTTGCTAGAAATGCAAATTCTCAGGTCCCACCTGCGACCTGCTGAATCAGAAAGTCCTGGAGTAGGGCTCAGCAGTCTTTTATGGCCACTATTTGCATGCTGAAGTTTGCAAAGCACATTCTTAAAAACAGAGGCTCTCATCCTCTAGAATTCCCAAAACAGATACACTGGCCCCTAGGATGATGCACCGATCATCATAGTAAGAGGCAGTGAAGGAGAAAGCAGTTTCACAGATTAGCCCCCAATTGAAATTCACACGTGGCACAATTCCAGTCGCAGGTGTTACATTTCAGTCCAGCCATTTCTCACATAGGCAACTCCAGGGTGAGTAGCAGCTGGAATTTATTTAATTGACCATGGTTAATGAGGCTCCCAAATAACTCAGCTAGAAAGGTCAGCTTGTAAATAAATTAAATATTTCCTGCTGTATCATCTGTCAGTTGATGTGAGCTTGTGACTGTTAAGAGATCTAGCTGTTGGACTGAATAAGAAATTAGAAGGTGAATCTGCTGGTGGAAGTGTGTGAGGGGGGGAGGGGTGGCACTGTCAATCCATAAGTGAGTTTTAAATCATCTTTGGTTTTGTATCATCTGAGCCACCGAGTGCCTCATTAACTATAGTTAGTTTTCCATACTTTTATTTCATGAGAGGGAAGACTTTAACAATCACTCCTTTAAACACTCTTTAATGATAGTACTTTTCCTTCCAATATTAGCAGTCTCAGGTTGTCTTTATGAAAAACACTTCCTTGTGCAAAGAGTGATAGACTGACATATAGTTTGATGTATTCAGAGGTAGGTAAGAACAGGCCATGTGGTTTGGGCAGGATGCTCTGCAATAAGAGACGAGGATGAGGCAGATGAGCCATTCCTCTCCGATGCAGAATTTAAGGGGCCCCTAAAACTCAGTAATCAAAAGAAATGATACTGTAATGGGCACAGCTGATACAAAAGAAAGCAAGCCTACGATGAATAAAATGCCAAGTTTTAAATAAAGGCAGGATCATAACAGCAGTAGATTGATCCATATCATGGACAGAGGCAAAAGACAAAGTCAACGGTAATAATGACTCTGAGAAAAATCACAGGTAAGTATAGGCTATGACCCCATTCACTCGATTAGTAATACAAAATTATATTGACACGTGTAGTATTAATATTAATTTGTTTTTCTATTTCTAGGGATATACTAATAACTCCATCATGCTGGCAATATGCTGTCCTTCTTAACCGATTCAATTATTCTTTTAAACTGGAAAAAGATTTACATTTAAAGGGCTATCACACACTCTTTCAAGGATCTTTACCCTACTATCCTAAATCAATGAAGTGTTACCTTAGCAGAACTCCAGCCAGAATGCCTTCAGAAAGACACCAAATTGGAAATCTAAAAAAATACTATCTTCTGAATGCCGCCTCTCTTCTCCCGGTATTGGCTCTGGAGTTAAGAGATGGGGAGAAGATTCTGGATCTCTGTGCTGCTCCTGGAGGCAAGTCGATCGCTCTGCTACAGTGTGCCTATCCAGGTAGTGTGCTTTTCATTCAGTAATTGACAACTCTGAACTAGCCATGTTTTACAAAATTCTTAAGGTATATGGGGAGAAATGTAAGATTGAGTTTGCAGACAGACTTTGGAAGCCTGAAAATCAGGACTCTGTGTAGAAGAACGGAAGATTTAGCTGAGGAGATCAGTGTTAATAGCATTTTTTTTTTCAGCTAACTACTAGCAGATAATTTTGAACACAACTGCAGCATTTTATAAACACAAATCTGTCAGATAATATGAATCCTGATAAGCCAATGACAAACATTTTTTATTTTATTGTTACTTTTATACTTGAGAGTCTTGCATTGATATCTTGTCATACTTTGAAACAACAAAAATACACACATTTAAATTTTTTGTATCATTGGTTATAAGGTCATAAGACAGTTCTGTCGAATAGAAATATAATGTGAAGTGCATATAAAATTTTACATTTTTAGGTACTCATTAAAAAAAGGTAGAAAGAAACAGTTGAGATTACTTTTAGCCCAGTGCATTGTAGCCCAGTACATCCAAAATATTAATTTCAGCATGCAGTCAAAATAAAAGTTATTAATGAACTATTTTGCATTCTAATTTTCTTACAAAGTCTTCAAAGTGAGTATTTTAAAGCACATTTCAATTTGAACTAGTTATTACCTTTTAAGGAGCTTATCACCACATGTGGCAAATGGGGATGGAATTAGACAATGCAATTTTAAAAGATTTTACGAAGTTCTTTGGAAGTAACTTATTGCTGTTATTAGTACAAAAATGATGAAATATATATAAATGTACATTTTATAGATATTAAAAGTAACGAGTCAACAATCATAAATTATTTTCCTAATTAGATGATGAGACTTTTAAAAAATTACTTCAGATTTTCCTGGATAAATATTACTTACAGTTTGAGAAGACAGGGGCCAGCATCAATTTTGTCTGGTTTTGTTTGATGTTTTTATTTTTATAAATGTAAATGCCTTCGTTCTTAAAGATGGAAATGGTGGGAAATGTGTTAGAGTAATTTCACTAAGCTCTTTCAACTCTTGAGTTATGACCCTAGATCACATAGATATTTTTCATGAAGCATTATTTTAATGATCTGCTAGGAGAGCCCTCTAGGTCCACTTTTGATTTGGTTGAAGGCAAAGGATTACAAATCATCTCAATTACAAAAGGCTACATTGCCTAGTTGTTTAACTCATTCACTTTCTCAGCCAAGGTAACCATGTGTTTAACTCCCTTTGTTTGGTGCTTTCAAAGTTTCTACACCCCGACACAGTCCACGGTAATAAGATTCTGGACGGGTGGGAAGCATGGTCCTCAGATGGTTGGTGAAGGGTCCTGTGAAGGGAAACCTGAGTCTCAGAGGTGTTCTCCTTTAGGAAGCTGATGATCTGAAATCGATTCTTTTTTTTTTCTTTTTTTTATGTTGGTTTATTTATTTTTGAGAGAGAGAGAGAGAGGGAGAGAGAGAATGTGCATGAGCTGGGGAGGGTGAGGGTGGGCAAAGAAAGGGAGAGAAAATCCCAAGCAGGCTCCACATACTGTCAGTACAGAGCCTGAGAGCGGGTTCAATCTCACTATTATGAGATTATGACCTGCACTGAAATTAAGAGACCAGTGCTTAACTGCTTAACAGACTGAGCCCCCCAGGTGCCCCTGAAAATTGATTCTTTTAAAGCTGCGGAAGAAGCTTCCTTACCATGTAGAAAGTTGTTATGTATTCCTAGGACATACATATCCCAGTTTGAAGACCAATTTATATCTTTCTTTGAGAGCACTCCTTGTTGAAATAGTTTTGAAAAACTTTTATGAGAACTGTGAATCCAGTTGTACTAGTCATTGGTATGAATATGTGTTTAGGGGAAAACATGCTGTGTGTTTTTGAATTGCAGTTAAACCTCCATTGTTGAAGCTTGTTGTATTTTTTAATGTAAGAAATCACAACAAAAGAGATCATTTTGTAAGGTTATTTTATTATTTTTATAATAAATATAATATTTATGACCTGAAGGTTTATGGAATCATGTGTTATAAGGAAAATTATTACTTTCACTCTTTCTGTGTTCTTTCAGCAATATTCTTATTTTGGCTGTTACATCAATTTTGAACATAGAATTTTTGGTATTATAAAAAAATGGAAGAGAAAGGTCAAATTTGGGTACCATTTTGAAGAGAGAGCATTTTAATCCTAAATTATCTTCATTAGCAGGCTATAAATATTTTACATACTTATGATAGGGAAGGTGATTTGATTAGTAATCTGAATGCAAACTGATATATTCTAGGAGTTTGAAGTGGAGAAGAATCTTCCTGTTTTTACATCAAGGGCAATGAACTACAGGCAGTGTTCCAAGTAAAGTAGCTTTTCATCTAAGTAGGACTAATGATAATGGTTTAGTAAGAAGTACAGATGTGTTCATGCTGATGCTCAAAGCCCAAATTAGGTTAGCTACAGCGCTTGAATTTGGAATGCAGAAGCAATGCTAAAATAGGCTTTTAAAAGCAAAACCTAAAGTGATGGCTGCAACTAAATGTGCATTTATACAATGAATTTCTTTAGATCAGCACTGGCCTTTATTCTGGGCCAAGAGGCTCACAGCTTTGAATGATTAAAAAGCTCGTATTTTAGGATGACTAAAGAAATTAGTGTACTTCTCTTTGGGTCCAGCTGCTCCCACCTGTTAGCACAGTGATAGATCGGCCCATTGTTTTGTTGTTGTTGTTGTTGTTGTTGTTGTCAACACAGCCTTGGTTAGGTCCTGGTAGAAAAAGAGCACACAATTCTGATTCTAAATAGGAAAGCATTAACATACTAAGAATGACCAGCTTGGTGGAGTGGCTTCATCAACTTTTTGGCTGAGGGCCCTATCCTTCCATGAAATTCTCTTTACTGTCAGTAATACCTTTTTGCCATCTAAGGTAGAAAAGATGAGAAAGACTCCTTTCTTTACTGAATTGCTTTTATCCTGCTTCCTGCTTCCTTTTAGGCCTCCAGGCCTTTTGCACACCCTACAGATACCACTTTTCTCTACTTCCTCCCTGCTGGTTTTTTCATCAGATTTTCATTCAGGAATCAACTTGATTAGAAAGCCTTCCAGAACTCCCTGTGTTAGGTGCACTTTTTATTTTGGTAGTAATAAAAACATTTTAGAATACCTAGTATGTGCTAAGGACTGTATTAATCACACTGCATAAATCAGAGTTTCTGTATAAATATATTTATGAAATCCTAGAGCTCTGAGGAACATAGTGTGCTATGTTCATGCTATACATGATCTTATTTAATCCGGCAGCCACGTTAGTTGGGCACTGTTATTCCCATTTTATTTTAATTTAAAAAAATTTTTAATGTTTATTTTTGAGAGAGAGACAAGAGTGGCAGAGAGAGGGGGAGACAGAATCCGAAGCAGGCTCCAGGCTCTGAGCTGTCAGCACAGAGCCTGATGTGGGGCTCGAACCCACGAACCGGCAGTTCATGACCTGAGCTGAAGTCAGACGCTTAACCAACTGGGCCACCGAGGTGCCCCTTGTAATCCCCATTTTAAAGATGAAACCAAGACAAAGAAAAATTTACCTAAATTGTCCTAGGAAAGTGGCAGAGCTGCAGTCTGAACTCAGGTTTTCAGGACTGTGCACCTGACTCTGTTTTGAGGTCTCCTGATGTTACTCAACTGCTGACCTTGTCCAGCACCCTCCCATTAGACAGCTTCTTGAGAATAGTGGAGGTTCTCACTTAACTTTGTGTCTGCAGCTACTAGCACTGTGCCCATTCCCCAACAGGTGCTTAGTAAACCAGCATCTTGACGTGGTCATATTCTCAAGTGTATTTTCATTTATTTTCAACCATGTTTTAACATATTTGTTGCTACCATTTTGTTCTTTTGTGAATTTGTAACAGATCTTCCAGATAACTCATCGAACCTTATCATTAGTCTTCATAGCACTTCTTATATATGGACAATATTAGTATTCCAATATTTACATTGAGAGGGACATATAATTCCTTAGATAATTGTAATTAAGGCTTATGGCTCCAAGGACTAGTTAACAGAACTGAAAATAGGCAGAATTTTTTTTCTTTTCAAGTTAGTTGCACTAGAAAAAATTAATAAATGAAACTGTCAGCTTCAGTTTCTTTCCATGGACGAAGGCTACCATATATACATGTAAAGCCTCAATGGCTTTTCAAGTATTTGTTAAATTCATCTCCTTTCCTGCTTAGATGAAAAAATACCAATATTTGGCTTATTTTTGACAATTTAAGCTTGAAGTTAGTTGTTTCAATGTAGGAAGTCATATTTTTTATATATATATATATATATATATATATATATATCATGGTTTGTGATGTCTTATATTACCTATTTTTTTTAAAAAAAAGCTTAACCAATCTAAGATGTTTAAAATAAAATTTACATCTAGGCCAAACAGTATTGCAGCATAAAGCTATATTTGAACTAAGAGTTATTTTTTAATGCTGAATTAAGAACCTTGACAAAAGCTATAATTTAATGAAAAATTCACCTCATTGTCAGTTTTAGCAATTTATTCTTCATTACAATGTCATGTTTGAAATCAAATCAGCTACATTTAGTGAGCACATGCTACATGTGAAAGTCATTGGATGTTATGTGTGGAGATGTGAAGGATATAGAAGTAACTAAGACTTTGGTTCTTGCAGAATGACAAACTAGGTCTCCTAACCAGGCTTCCTGCTGAAAACAACTAAGAAATGTAAGATATAATATTAAAGAAAATACAGAATCTTTTAAAATGCATCAGTGATCTCTAAATACTCAGTGAACAGAATCTAAGAGATAATAGGAACCTAGGAGATCAATTAAGCATTGAAGCTAGCTTTTCACTTGAGAGTATTTGCTTAACCTGAAAAATTTGCATGTTACTTTTCATTGCTTCATGAAAATGTGAGAATAGAAGACAGCCTCTCCAAGAGAGCATCTACTAGGAGGTTAACTTACATAAAGCTGATAT